GAAAACGGCACCACAAGAGCGACTTTGCCTGTCCACCGTAGCAACGATGCTTGAGGGTTTTCGCCGTTCAGGTCCATTTCCGCGGGCGCCTTGCAGCTGGCTGGCAAGTCCTTGGCTGAGGAGGCGTCTCGATCCCTTCGCACGGAGGCAAGACACGAGATGGGTCTGTGCTCTTTTTCAAGTTGAACCAAAGGGGGGGGTCCAAATCCATATTTGGACATACCCACGCACATGAAGTTGCTAAAAGTCGAGTCCCCCCCCCCCGCCGGGACCCCCGATGTCACCTTGTGCTGTTTGCGACACGGGGTGGGCAAAAAGGGTCGTCGACGACCTGCCAAACGCTGCCAGCTTTCTGGGTGCAGGCGAGCATATTTGTTTTGACTGGCTAGGTGCGGACATGTGACGTGACTTGTACGTTGGTTTTTCCTGCTGGGTCCCAGGACTTGGGGATAATGCTAGCCCTGGATAGTGCGCCCGGCAGGAGCATTCATGGCGGCGTCGTGCTCGCGAAAATGGGACCATTGCCCTCCATGTGAATCCTGGGTTCCAATTTCTTGCCCTCTTCTTGCTTGTTCAGCTTCGAAACATTGAACTTCTTGATCATGGGCAAAAGGTTTAAACTTTGTTTAGGCAGTCAACTCAGCAGATTCGACTTTTGGAGGTCTAAGCGACATTTACTAGAACCTGTTGACCGGCTTTCGTGGCAAAGGGAGCCATGGGAAGATTGTGGACCCACCCGCGGCGGTCAATTCTCAAAGTGGTGGACCTGTTTTTGGGATTCCTAATTTTTGAGCACCTGTATGACTGCTCCCATCTCCTCTTTTTCGCATCGGGAGACCACGGGCATGCCTTCGCCCTCGTCCTCGCTGGTGCTGAAGACGCCACGAGCCAAGCAACCGCCCACGTCTCTGTTTTTGGGGTATCTTTCATAGGGATGGGTTTTTTGACAAGCCTCATGTCTTGTGAGTGTGTGTGTGTTTTGGAGGGTGCACTTTTCAGGTCGGCTTAAAGGGACGCCAGGATTAAAGGGAAACGAGGAGGAACACCACCAAAAAGGCCTGTGGGTGTGTAGGGGCCTATCCTAGCCCTCAAGGCCTGATTATGAGGTGAAACATGCCTCACGGGCTCAGTGGAGGGTAGGTGTTTTTCGCGCACATTCACGAGTTCACGAAAATTGGAGGGAGGATACCCGCAGTGCAAACCCCAACCCGGGCTATAGTTAGGAAGGTGCACGTCGCAAAGTGATCGCTCCCGTATGAGTTCTTGGTTGGTCATTGTTCCTGTCGCTGGATTTGAGGAAGGGGAGTTTTCGACCCCTGGAATAATGCCATTTATGGCAGCAGCTTTTGCCGTTGGTAGGGAAGACCCCGCACATGGAACCGGGGCACCTCAGTCCCAAGCCCGTCCCCGAAAGGTGGGGATGCTCTTTCAACACCACCCCTTCGGCCTTTTGAAAGCCGGGGTCAGTATTTTAACCGTTCCTGGGGGTGTTCAGAAAGGTGAGGTGGTTTCCCAAAAACAAACCACTTGACAAAGTGCGTGGCCGGGAAGAGGTGTTTTTTGTCAGTTGGCGAGAGGTGTTTTTTCAGTTGGCGGTGGCTTACGGCAATATTTGTTTCTGTGGGAAAGGGGGGTCAATCTCTGGAATTCCATTTGCAGTTCCAAATTCCCCTTGTGCGCAAAACTGCCCTTCCACAGGCAAGCATGGAATCTCTTGGGCCGGACCCACTTACTGTACTTCCATTCGCGCTGGCCTAGAGTTGTCATGTCTGCCTGAAGGTTACGTAAGTGGAATTGGGCGACCCCGGCTGCAACCTCTCTCTCTCTTGAAGCGACGGGGGGGGGGCGTGCTGGCTGAGGTTCCAGACCCGGGACATGCGCCGGAAGTGTTTGGAGCTCTTAGCGCGGCCGGACCTGAAAAGTCTGGCCACCGACATATTCAAGAGGAGCCAGGGAGTCGGGCCTTCGTACCCCTTGTGGCATGTTTCAAAAGGAGCTGGAAAGAAGCCGCTTGGAGAACGGGGCGCCCCGACCTTGGGACAAACGAACGTGGCATGTTCTGAGCCATGGTTCCGTCTTTGAATTTCCGAGGTGGGGGTCATTAAACTATGCAAGTCAGGCTAAGCAGTGAGCCACAAACCAATTCAGCAGGCCTAAGTCTGGTCAAGAAATGGGATGGCTCAGTAATCGCCATCCTTGGGCGGGTTCACTTAGGTGTTTACATTTGCTCAAGGTTGGTGTGCGGGCTTTGCTTGTCTTGCTGATTCTCAGCAGGCAATCAACAGGGGTGTTCAGAATGAAGCTAGGGATCCGCTGAAAAGCCACAAGGGATGGATCAGTTCGGGGTCATTCCTAGATTCCCTGCTGGCCAAGTTGCTCCCTGTAGTGGCCAGCATGATTTTGCACGGGCCCGAGCACTCGTTGCCGAGCCGGAAACGCGTGCACCGAGCCGTCGCTCGAGGAGCGACGCAGATGACAGCGGCCAGCTCGATTTCAACGAGATCCACCGGGTTTCTCAGCCCAGTTGGCCGACTTGATCCTTTGTGCCGCCTTGTCGGGTGCTACAGTAAACCAATCTCTTGAGATTCCACATGCCGGGGCACACCACAAGAGGATGTTTGACTGTGAACTTTGATTGGGCACTACTCGAAAAGTGGTTGATAGAAGTGAATTGCCACCGAAATGATAAGGACGTTTGACCTGTGGCGAACTCGGTTTCGGCATCCTTTCCACCTAAATGAGTTGACCAAAGGGTGGTAGCCAGAGTAGCCAGAGCAATGTTAAGCTCTTTTTCAGACACCACTTGCTGAGCAGATTTAGTGGTCCGGATCAATGCATCTACAACCAGGGTATCCCCAGTGTTCCCCTGGGTCCGGATGTCCGAGTGTTTTTGTTTTTTCCTGAAAGCATCGCGAAGGGTTCTTCCGTGCGGAGCCCTTGGACAAGTTACACAGAGCCAAGTTGCACAGAGCCAAGTTACATAGAGCCAAGTTACATAGAGCCAAGTTACATAGAGCCAAGTTACATAGAGCCAAGTTACATAGAGCCAAGCTACATAGAGCCAAGTTACATAGAGCCAAGTTACATAGAGCCAAGTTACATAGAGCCAAGTTACATAGAGCCAAGTTACATAGAGCCAAGTTACATAGAGCCAAGTTACATAGAGCCAAGTTACATAGAGCCAAGTTACATAGAGCCAAGTTACATAGAGCCAAGTTACATAGAGCCAAGTTACATAGAGCCAAGTTACATAGAGCCAAGTTACATAGAGCCAAGTTACATAGAGCCAAGTTACATAGAGCCAAGTTGCACAGAGCCAAGTTGGCACAGAGCCAAGTTACATAGAGCCAAGTTACATAGAGCCAAGTTACATAGAGCCAAGTTACATAGAGCCAAGTACATGAGCCAAGTTACATAGAGCCAAGAGAGCCAAGTGGAGCCAAGTGAGCCAAGTGAGCCAAGTGAGCCAAGTGAGCCAAGTTACATAGAGCCAAGTGGCACAGAGCCAAGTGAGCCAAGTTACAGAGCCAAGTGGCACAGAGCCAAGTGCACAGAGCCAAGTGGCACAGAGCCAAGTGGCACAGAGCCAAGTGAGCCACAGAGCCAAGTGAGCCAAGTGGCACAGAGCCAAGTGGCACAGAGCCAAGGTTAGGTAGAGCTTGCGTAGAGCTTCGGCGTAAGCAGCTATGTAAGTTAGTTTAGGTTTCTAAGGCGCCGGGGCGGGAGTTTGATCATCGCTCGGGATTGCGACCCTCTGCGGAGATCCGCGTGGTCGATGTTAAAAAACTGAGGACCTTTACGATTTCTGCAAGCCGCACGCGACCCTCTGCGGAGATTCGCGTGGTCGAGGTCAAAAAACTGAGGCCGCGCGCGACCTTCTGCGGAGATTCGCGTGGTCGAGGTTCAAAAACTGAGGACTTTTTACGATTTTTAACCTGCGCAAGCGACCCTCTGCGGAGATTCGCGTGGTCGAGGTTCAAAAGCTGAGGACTTTTTACGATTTGTGCAAGCCGCGCGCGACCCTCTGCGGAGATTCGCATGGTCGAGGTTCAAAAACTGGACTTTTTACGATTTCTGCAGTCCGCGCGCGACTTTTTACGATTTCTGCGGTGCGCGCGCGACCCTCTGCGGAGATCGTGTGCGTCCAAGCGCTCTCGCTGTGGCGCCGTGCGAATTTGTCTTACTCGGCGAACCCTCTGCGGAGATTGTGCGTGTCGAAGCGCTCTCGCTGCGCGTGCGATTTTCTTGCTCGCGAAACGGTCTTTGGAAGTTGTCTTGTGGTTTGCGCGCCTGCTTTCGCAATCCCACGGTCGCGGGCTCGATTTCCCCCTGGTCCGCGGCAGCTCCGGCACGAAAATCGCAGCTTCTAAGTACAAACGCAGTACGCGGAGCGTGCTCCCGCAGCTCCGGCTGGAAAATCGCAGCCTTTAAGTACAAGCGTAGCACGCGGAGCGCCTCCGCAGCTCCAGCTGGAGATTTGTAACTTTTAGTAGCGCGGGTGTGTGCACAGCGCAGGCTGAGCATCTTGTGCACAGATACAAGCGCCGAGCGTCTGGCGGCGAGAAACTTGCACAGAGCAACGTGCGCAGTCTAAGACAGATGTCCAGCCATTTGCGCGCAGCAGCTTGCAGAGAGCAACTTGCGCGCAGCAGCCTGGAACAATGCAGCTTGCGCAGACCACTTGCGTGAGAAATCGTGCAGCGCAACTTGCGCAAAACACATTGCGCTGAGCAGACTTGCGCAGAGCCACGCTTCACAGAGCCAAGTTGCGCAGAGCCACTCGCATAAAGTAGCTTGCGTAGAGCCAACTTTCACAGAGTCAAGCTGCGCAGAGCCATCTTGCGCAGAGCTAAGTTAAAGAGCCGAGTGGCACAGAGCCAAGTGGCACAGAGCCGAGTGGCACAGAGCCATGGAGCCAAGTGGCACAGAGCCAAGTGGCGCAGAGCCAAGTTGCACAGAGCCCAGTTGCACAGAGCCAAGTTGCACAGAGCCAAGTTACATAGAGCCAAGTTACATAGAGCCAAGTTACATAGAGTCAAGTTACATAGAGTCAAGTTGCATAGAGCCAAGTTACATAGAGCCAAGTTACATAGAGTAGAGGCAAGTTACATAGAGCCAAATTACAATAGAGCCACGTTACAATAGAGCCAAGTTACCATAGAGCCAAGTTCCCATAGAGCCAAGTTACGATAGAGCCAAGTTACATAGAGCCAAGTTACATAGAGCCAAGTTGCATAGAGCCAAGTTACATAGAGCCAAGTTACATAGAGCCAAGTTGCATAGAGCCAAGTTGCACAGAGCCAAGTTGCACAGAGCCAAGTTACATAGAGCCAAGTTGCACAGAGCTAAGTTGCACAGAGCCAAGTTGCACAGAGCCAAGTTACATAGAGCCAAGTTACATAGAGCCAAGTTACATAGAGCCAAGTTACATAGAGCCAAGTTACATAGAGTCAAGTTACATAGAGCCAAGTTGCACGAGCCTCCTTTGCAGAAGCTGTTGCATCGATGTAAAAGGGCGTCTCCGCGGCTGGAATAGCACATGATGGGAAACGCTTGGGGAAGAATGCTTTCGGGCCAATCGTCCTCTAGTTTTCATATTTTTTCCGGCCCGGGGGGGGGGGGGCAGTGAAGCCGAGCCCAGGTACTGGAGCAACTTCACGGGGACATGGACCTGCCCAAGCCCAACCATGCCATGGTGGAGTCCTTGCTGAAGCGCTTCGATACCAACGGCTCGCCCCTTGGGCCAATTCGAGCGGAAGGAGACTGACCATTGGCGAGGGCGACGTGTGTGTGTGTGTGTGTGTGTTTTTTTTTGGGGGGGGGCTGGTTTCCAAAGGAGGTTAGGGCTCCAATTGGTTCAGCCAGCTTTACAAATTAGTTTTTGAATGCGTGTCCTTCTGAAAGGGGGGTTCGAAAGGCAAGCCCTGCTTTGGGCCGTCTTGGCAACTTACTGCCCAAGATTCTGCAAGCCATTCAGCAGTCGTTTTTCTCCAAACTGGCGGGTTTTGCATTGAAGTCAAGCCAACTCATTCCCAAGTTTTGGGACTCAATGTGAACTCATAGTTTTGGAAACTCAGTTCAGTGGGCACTCAGGAACGTGCCTCCCTGAAAAGCAAACAAACATTGCAGCCAGGGATTCCTGAATCTGTTTCCCTTTTTTGACGGTTTACCGTGGCTCCGTGTCGGAAGCCGAGTCTTGCCCAGGAAGACCCACTCAAAACTTTCAGGTGGGCCCTCCATCAAAGCTGAAGCCGGGGCCTTGGATATTGAATGAAGGAACCCTGATCCCTTGGGGTTGGTAGGGATGGTCAATGTGAAGGTTCCCCACCTCAAAGACTGTTGACCATGTGTGCGGAACCGTGCCCGTCCACCAACATGGTCAACCTCAACGGGCTTTCCTTCCGCAAGCGTTCGGGTCGGCTGCAATTGGCTGACCCTTAGGCCAAGGGGATTGGCATTGTGACTGTATTTAAACCATTTCCGGGGTGAACACGACAAGTCCCTAGACCTGTTCTGAGCTCGGAGGCTACAACCCACACGCACACACGCACACACACTCCCATAGAACCCTGGGAAGAGCCTGGGTGACTGGGATCATGAAGCATACCATGAATCCTGACCCTGGCCCTTGGCTCAAAGGACGTTTCTCTAGGCCCGGCAGCTGGGATAAGAAACTCTGACCAACCCTAACCCTTCCAGACGCCTGAACCTTCAGGGCCGGGCCGGGATCAGAAGCCAAGAGGGTGTTCCTCCTTAAACTTTGTCGCCAAGCGGGAAGATCGACCTACCCAAAATGGCAAACCCAGAGCCCACCTCTTGAAGCCAAACGAACACCTCCCAAAGAGTGGAGCCTCAGCCAAGCCGTGCCAGGAAGAGCCTCAGCGAGAGCGAGTTCTTCGAGCTCTTGATCTCGCAGCTGCGGCGCTCTGCCTTCGACCGCGGCTCCGTGCTGGGCCGGGAGTTCTTCCTCACCAAGCACCGCGGCAAACGCGGCGGAGGGGAGGAAGGTCTCTAAATGGGGGATTCCTAGGTCACCGAAACAGCTGCTGGCAGTATGAAGAGCTGAGCAGTTCGTGATGCCGTAATTTGACTTTGAACTATAATTTAGCCATTGTATGTTCTAATCGTTTACTTCTTCTAATTGTTTAGCCCCTCGAAGATACCTTCCCCATGCTTCCAGGATTCCAGGATGCTTGCGGAAGTGGCTCGCCAATGGCCCAAGGCCCGACATAAATCCGAACAGTTGGATGAAAGCAGATGCCATGATTCCCTTGCTGTTTAGTTATCCCCTCTACTTGCGCACGTGGGAATCGTCCCATCTTTTTACAGCCGGAAGTGCACCTCCCAGAGTCCCGGAGGCCTCGTTTGCGCCCCCAGCCGAGGAACCAGCGGGACATTTGGGAGGTTTACCGCCGCGAGAAGCAGCTGGGGACTGGCTCGTTCGGCACCTCGATGCTATGTGAATTTTCGAGGGTAATGATACCCATAGGTTTCCATAGTCTTTTAAGTAGGCAACTGACGCATGGGAGACTCTGATTCGGTCCTCCCATGAGATTCAGACCTCCCACCTCTTTGCCCTGTAGCCTTGAGCCGGTCCATCCCAGGCACGGCCTACAAGGCGAAGCATATCAAGACAGGGGAGGAGCGTGTGGTGAAGGCGGTGAAGAAAAGCCGAACCGCACTGCCTTTAGATGAGATCGAGCAGGAGATCTTGATCATGCGCCAGGTGGATCACCCCCATATCGTGCGCCTCTTCGAGTGGTACGAAGATGGGAATCGCATTTATTTGGTGCTGGACTACCTAAAGGGAGGCTCGCTCAAGGATGCTCAGACACCCAGAAGTGCCCTTTTGCTTGTTTTCCCTTTGGTTCTTCTTTAGAATCAAAAAATGATCAACCCCTTGCCAACCAGGTGTCCTTTTTCCCATCTGCGCTGAGGATACCATCGTGCAGTTGAACAAGAAGGATGAGAGGGGTCTTAAGGAGGCGTGGATCCGAGACGTGATCCAGCAGGTGGCCGGCGCGCTGGCGTACTGCCACAGCCTGCGGCTCATCCACAAAGACATGAAGGCGCCTCCATTGGATTTGACCAGGTGACCGGCCAGGGTTGGGTGATTTCCAAGACGAAAAGGCGACGCCCTGGGTTTGCATCTACCAGGGGGAGCCCTGCTCATCAGAGTTGTGTTGTTGTTTTGTTTGTTTTTTGGGGCTGGCTTCGGTCTGGCCACCGAAACTCAACCACAACAGGTTAATTCCTCAATTCTCTTGAACCCTCCTTATTGTTCATCCCCCATGTTTTCCACTCGTTTTGGGCAATTGGCTGAGGAGAGGGATCCCTGAACAGAAACTATAATTCGGGTGCCTTGCATTGTTTTCGTCCCGCAGGACGAGAACATCATGTTGCTGGAGAAGCAGCAGAACCTCAGCTGTTCAAATTCGACCTTGTGACCAGTGTGTGTGTGTGTCTCCCCGGTTTGGTTTAACTTCTTGGTTATGGCCCCCAGTTGTTGACCTTTTTGTTCTGGCGCCTTTTGGCACATGAGGGTGCCCAAAAGCACTTGACTGCGGGTTCTACCAGCCTTTTGAAGCTCAACGTGGGCGTTCCCAAACGTTGGGGATCCCTGTTGGCCGGTTTGAAAAGGCCAACCAAACGGAAGCCGGCCACTTGAAACGGTCGGCGATTCACCAGGGAATCAAGGTAAGGCCTTCCAGCAGAAAAAAATCAACCAACGGAAACAGGTCATCCCAACCCCTTAACGACCAACCCTTGCTACCTGGTCCCTAGGAACTGGGAGAAGCCGCACGCGGTGATCATCGACCTGGGCGTGGCGGAGATGTTTTCGGTGGCCGACCCTGCGGGGCGCTTCATCGGCGGCACGCCGACGACTATGGCGCCGGAGGCCGGGAGAACGCCACATGCGAAGCATCCGAGCCCCGGGCTCCGATGTTTGGGGCGCCCAAGTCAGCTTTCGTGTTTGGAACATCCAACATTTGGTGCTACTGAGTGGATGGACAACAATGCCGGGCTCCAGTTGGGATGGATGAAGCCCTAAGTACTGGCTGAGAGCCATCAATCGCAATCAGTGCGATGTGGATTTTCTCCATCCACGGAACCTGGCTCCTTTGGATACCCGTAGGTTGTAGCTATGTCCTACAGCAAGTTGGACATGCAGGTGCCAGATCCTTTAGCTTCAACCATGCACGGCCTTTTCCTGCTTTTGACCCATGTTTTTTGTTGGTTTTGAATGGGCCCCCCCCCAATGAGCCATCCCACATGGTGTCCCTTCAACAACTATGTTGATCCTGCACTGAAGAGGAAATCTCCCGAATTCTTGAAGTGTTTTTTCTACATCGGTCCGGCCTGCTTCTTGACGTCGGCCACACAGGTGGCAAAGGTCACCCCCAAAGTGGAGACGTAATGCAGTTTTCGATGGCCGCTTCTTTTTTCGACTTGACTTGCGCAAAAGGCCGCAACCATCTTTTGGGGTGAGTTGATGGATTTAAGCTGATTGTTGCGGGGTTTAAGTTCTTCAGGTGACTTTGTCGGAGGCACCCCTTTTCCTGTGGACAGATCTGTTTGTTTTCACGCATCGCGTTTTTGGTTTGCCTGGGGGGTGGATCATTTGCCCAGAGGCGCCCGGTCCACTACGTCCGTGGCACATAAAGTAAATACCACCAGGGGTAATTGGGGGCGGGGTGTTTATGAATGAAGCGTTTATAACTAAAGCCAAATACATACATACCACTCATACCACCATTGTATGCATAGGTAATTTTCATGCACCTATCTATACATGGAATCTGAACCCGGTGACCCCCCAAAGGGGGGGGTGTGCGGGTGGACACCCGCTTAAAACATCTTAAAACATGATGGCTGCCCCTTATGAGGCTCGTTCTATGCGGAGCCCCCTTGCCTGAAATTACAACAACCTTGCCCCCCCCTCCACCGAGGCAAGGGGCTGGCTTTGCTATTGTTAACCCACCTCACATCAGACTTTCCAAAGGCCCACGCCAAACGCGGAGCACCTGCCAGGTTTGGCTTGGCAACTTCGGGCCCAAGTGCGACACGTGCCTCGGCGGTTTGAGTACACTGCGTGCCCACATGCCCATTGGATTCCTTTGCTTTTGGTACTTTATACTTGCTTGCTTCGTATACATTTGCCTCACGGAGAGATGAGGTGCCTTCCTGCAGATTAGCATGGGACCTTCAAACACCAACGTTCTTACAGGAACCTCCTTGTTGGGGACAGAATGTGAGGCTCCATTTTGTAGGGGGAAGATCCATACCTCCTAAAGCCATGCCTGAAACGGGCCTCCATTGCCGAATGCTGATGGCAAGGTCATGGCCCTTCACGGTCCTTGTTGATCAGTGGCTCCCAACGGTCGCGAATAGTCTGAATTGTTGCTATAGCTTGTTTTGCTATGTCTTGTGCCATGGCTTGAGGTGGGCGGCAATCGCCACCCAGGTAGGTGAAGGTTAGTCAAGGCTGCGGCAGCCTGTAGTAATGTTGACTTCGGATGAATCCAGAAGGGCGTCCCATTTTGCAGGGAATACTTCACTTTTGAGGGGACCTCCCCCTGAATCCGCAACTACTTAGATCGAGGTCGACATTGCCGGGTTTTGATTGTGCCAAGGTGAGCGCCTGAACCATTGGCCAGCTGGCTTCAGGGGGTTTAGCAAGGGAAATATACAAATATGTATGTGTAGTTTCTAGCCATGTTCATTCGCGGTTGTGGAAAGTCTGGTTTTAGGGCAATTTTCTGTAATAGTGATCAAGTAGTCATGAACCATATTATCACAGAATGACAGAAGGGTCGATTTCCCCAACCATGACCCTCTTGGTGCAAGCAAAAGTCAGGCAGTTTTTTTTGTTTTGACCCAGTTTCTCAAAAAGCGTCAAAGCCAAAGGTGGCTAAGTGGCTTCGGAGTTGCCGGAGCCGAGGTGGTCGCTGGGCTGCATCCTCTACGAGCTCTGCACCGGGAGCATGCCCTTCATGGCCACCACCATCCACGCCTCCGCCTGGACGAGGCTTCACAAGCGCGGGCCCAGGCGCGTTCTTCTTTTTGGTTTGCCCGGAAAGCCGACGGCGAGTCGACCCGCCCAAATGGGTGTGGGTGTTTGGTTTTTAGTGGGAACCCCCTTTTGGTTGTTAAAGCGGAAGCCAAGCTGACAGAGGGAGACTGAAATCATTAGTTGGGATTCCCTAAGTTTAAGACGAGCCACACCCAAGGAATTTGTTCGGACGTGCCAAGCGCACTTCCGTTGGGAAGGCCAGCTTGGTTGCGTACAAGCTGAAACCCAGTTGGGGTTGTAAATGCACCCCCTCGATGAAGTAACAGTTGCGCATTTGGAGCCGGAGCTGCGGAAGTGTACTTCGGTTACCACACTGAAACTGCGATTTCGGGCTGGGGCGGCGGAAGTGCACTTGGTTCATTAACGCTTGTGCTCAAAGTTGCGCAAGCATTCCTCAAAACTGTACCGCAAAGAAAAGGATGTGCATGTCATGCGGGGCTCCCAGCCATCCCCTTAGCTTTTTAGCCTTTTTGTGTTTAGTGGTACAGTAGTAGTTTCCATTGGGGGATCTGAGAGCAGCCCAGACAACCAGGGACCCCTTAACGGTACTTGGCTTTTTTCCAAGCAACCCCGCGAGCCCAATGCGTTGCTCGCTGAGCGGCAAGCGCGCAGAAGGGAGTCAGGGGTATTCGGTGGATTTTCTGGCGGGTTCTGTCCCAGTGCCTTGTCTTTAGGGGGTTCTGACCACCGAGGCTATTTTATAGGGGATTCGCCCAGTATTGTATGGGTTTGTCTGAAAATAGGGGAACAGCCACAATTTGCTATTTTGTTTTTTGTTGTGGTCTCGCAGTCAACCAACCTAAGAAGGATTCCCTAAAACAACGCAAGCCCATATGGCCCGGAATCACACAAGTCTTGATAGGGGGGCCAAACCTGAGGTGGAAAAGATGGAATCTAGCAAGTGTTCCAATTCTTTTACTGCCAGGGTCAGGGGGCAGCTGAGCCTAGATCACGTGTTCAGTCGCCGGCCCCCGTCTGTTTTAAGTCAGACCTGGCAGATTAATATGGGGCCGCAACTTCCAAAAACAATGCGTCAAATACGTCAAGTGATAAGGCAGACCCCCCGTCTATGTTCAACCTCGCCAGGCAACCATGGTTGTGTAGTGGCTGTCTCACTTGCGATTGGCTATGCCATACTTGCCCGAGTGGGTTGAACATCCAAGTGAGCAACACCCGAGTCCTGCGTTGGCCATTGTAGGTGGTTCTACTATCTGCTTTAGTTGGACACTAAAAGCCTGCATAAACCTTCAGCCATCTTAGTAGAGCCAACGGTTCATAGGCTTTCGGCGTTGTTCTGGTGTTAGTCTTCCAGCTGTGGCCAGCACACCCCGCAGGTGGGATGACATGAAGACCTGCGCTGACAGCAAGGCGGGTTTCCGATTCGGGGAACTTTGGGCGCGGGATGGGCACCTGCGCGCATTTTGCGGTTGGAGCTGGTTTTGGGGAATGTCGTTGGAGTGGAAAGCCACGAGTTTGGCCTTTGTCAACTTGTTGTCCCCGGAAAGTGGGTCAGACATGTTCTTGACAATCAGAGTGCTTGAAATCCGGACAATAAACCTCAGCAATGGTTCAGCCCTCCAAAAAAGCTGCCGGTTTCTCTTTTTTTTGGCCGCGCGGGCTCTCAGCGCAGGTGCTGTGCAAGGCCATGCTGCAGTACCACGAGGCGGACCGGCCCTCCATGCAGCAGGTCCTGGAGTTCCCCTATTTCCAGACGGCGGCCCACGAGCTGAAGTTCGTGCCCCCGCAGAGCTGCTGGGCAGAGCCGGGCGTTGAAGTTGGAGTGTGTTTTGACGTGGTGTGGTTTTGATCTGGTTTCATTATGTTGGGTTTTGTTTGTCTGGCTTAATGTATGAATGCCTGTAACCCCCCTCCCCCTACCCCCTCCCCCCCCGTTAGGTAGTTCGGTCCTATCCCTAGGGTGGCTAGGAAGCTGATATATCAACATTTTTCCCTAAGCCTTCCGAAGCTGAACCTATGAGACCCCTTGATTTTGATCGGAGATTCGAGCTGCGTTACTTTGCGTCCCCCTAACCTAGGGAACTCATAAGAGATTCGAATTGCTCTTTCTGAAAGTGCTGCGTCCCCCTAAACTTTCCGCAAACCTGCTTCCCCAAAGTTTCCTAAGGCTTCCAGGGCTTCCCGAAGGCTTCGCTACGGCTTCCCGAAGGCTTCCTGAAGGCTTCCTGAAGGCTTCCTGAAGGCTTCCCTAAGACTTCCCTAAGGCTTTCCTAAGGCTTCCCTAAGGGTGTTTTCCCAACCTAATTTGCAGGTTTGGGCGGTATTTCTTGTCCAATCAGCCTTTCCTGGGTTTTTCAAGAGCCTCCCTAGTGTTCCCGCCATGCGCAGGGCGAGTGTCAGGCCAAGTACGGGCTCCATAATTGGTTGTGTTTGGTTTGGATTAGTTTGTTTGTTTGTTTGTTTGTTCTTGTTTTGTTGGAGCGCCTGTATATCTCAAAAAAGCAAGGAGACGCAGGATGAAACTGTGCTTCCTGCTTTCCTTTTTGGCACGTGCCTTTTTGCATGTGTGTGTGTGTTTGTATGTGTGGGTCGCGCGTAGTGACTTTTTTTTGCGAACTCAAAACGAGTGTAGAAGCTGGCCCCACACGAATGTGAAGCAGTTCTTTTCTAAGGGCATGGTTAATGGTTTTTGAACAAGCTGCGGTTTGTACTTTTTAGGCCAAAACACACATTCACCAACCTAGTCCTTGATAGGAAGCTGGTTTTCCAGGCGTTTTGCCCTCACACATTTCATTGGGAGGGTAGTTCTATTAGGGTCCTTACATGCCCCTTTTTGGCAAAGTTCGAAAGGGCTGTCCTTGAGCACCCGTTTGGGATGGGTCCGTGGACGCGCGAACCTGTTGCTTGTTGAGCCTCCCAGTTTGGTGGGGTTGTTCGCATGTCAAAAAGCATCTGCCGGAAAAAGGCGTTCATGTTCCCATTGGCCACTTGGTCATACGACTGTTGCAAGGCATCCTCCTTATATGCAATGTGTATTTCACCCCTATCCTAGGTTTGCTTTGCCTTTCTTTTCGTCACTTCCGGGCCTCGAACCAAACTCATCGAAGTATATAGGTGTTAAGCATGGTTGCATGATGCTGCATGCCCCAAACCCTATACAGTCCCACTTCACCTTCTTTCTGCCTCTTTCCAGAACATGAACAGTTCTTGGCTACTTCAGCTTGTTGAAAGTAGACGGCACAACCTTCCCATGTTGGCTTTATCGTGCTCGTCACTTACGCACATAAAGGGGAGTTGTGCCATTGACTTTCACGCAGGTGCAAGTGGATTGAACGCCCACGTGTAATAAGGACCTATGTAGACTGTGGCTCTGGGGTTGACTGGCCGACGTTTTGGCCCAAATCCCCACCCCCTTAAAAATGGGGGACAGGGGTACCGCTGGAATTCCATTTCTGGTTCCATTTTCCCTTTTATGGGAAAGACTGGATAAATGGAATTGGGGGACCCCCACCCCCCTCCCCCTTCAGGCAAGGGGGATCGGCCCAAGGTTACGCCGGCTTCCTGAGTGTGCACAAGATGCACCGGGCGCGGCAAGGCTTGCTCCTAGAGATCGCCTCCAGGTTGCCCATCTCGCGGGCCGGGGAAATTATGCGCAGCTTGGCTGACCTGTCAAGCTGGGGCCTCCTTCTTTGATTGCTATTGGGTTGGATCTTTAGACTTAAACTTCTTGGGAAATAAAGGCGTTTTCCACTACACCCCCCCAAAAAAATAAACTTGTTGCAGGGGGGTCAACAGCAACCAAGGTTCAAGAAACAAATCCAGGGTTACCTGGCGTCTCCTTGAGGAAAAGATTTCAGGGTGGGCTGGGTATGAAAGAGAAGTGATTATTGTTTGTGTGCCCTGGGTGTGGGCCAAGCTTTGGGTATGTGCCTGAATTGGAAACCAATCATAGTGGTGTACTCTCAGACAAGGCTCAGACCCCTTTGGTGCGAGCGAAGCAGACAAATTGTGGGCTTGGATGTTCAACCTACCTAGTAGGGTACTTGTTTACCGTACTGTTTGGGACGCATCATTCTCACCAAGACAACCTTACTAGTCAACAACTTGGTTGGTCTTGTAGGCGCGGCCTTTTGAGCCTTTTGACATGTTGGAACGTGACCATTTCTCACTACACACAAAACACACTTCTTGCAGGGGGCCGAATACTACTACTCTTTGGTGAGAATTTTAACCCTGTATCCGTTTTTCCTTTGCCCTTTGCTGACGCCAACCCTGTCTGCCCTCCTTAAGAAAGGTTAAGGTCTGGCCCTAAAGTCTTGGGCCGTTAGTGCAGGCATCACGCCTTAACGGCACGCATGGAATTCATGTGCTTTGCTCTTTTGGGGCATGAGGTTTCAGGCAGAAATCGTTTGACTCTTCTTCTCTGGTTAGATGCAGATCTGAGACGATCTTGACCACTAGTCACGCGAGAGCACCACATGTCGCTTTTTGCAGCTCAAAGACCAAGGCATGTTCGCAGAGGTGGACCAAGATCGCACTGGCACCATCACCCTTGATGAGCTCACGTCCTACTTCGACAAAATAGGCGACTGGAGACAAGCTGATCGTGTGTGCGGGAGCGTTTTCAGTTGGCTGCCGCCGCCGCTGCCCGGGCTCTGCGCCTTCACCTTTGCTTTCAAAAAACAGCAATAGGGAGAGCAACAACAGGTGCAGAAACCCTCCTTGCGGGGATTCCCTTAACTTTCTCCAGAGATACGGCCAGGAGTCTGAGAACAAGCCTCGCCTTGGCACCTCGTTGGCCCGAGGTTAGCCTTAAACTCAGGTGTTGGTGTTACAATCAGGTGCTTTAGCAACTTGGACTCAAAATTCCATGGTAGTGTTAAACTCGAATCCATATTAGGGACCAAAGAGACTTCCCGTGCGGAGGATTTTACCAGCCAATCGGACTGACCGCAAAGAGCTTGCCCCTCATCATTCTGTTTTCTTCTTGGGTGGGGTCCATGTCGACACCTTTTCCATGGTTGTGGAAACTATGGTTTTTGGGGCCACTTTCTGTGGTCTCAAGGGAACCCCTTCAACGTGAGAAAGCTGTGTGGGAGCCAACCACTTCGTTCTAAAAGGGTTGCTTTCCACAAGCTCTTAGGTTGCAAGTGGCTTGCCACATATGGAATCTCATGTTGCAATGACACACAGGGGGGAACCTCACCCCCTCCCCACAACCAACCAAAACCCCGCAGGCGTTCAGCACTTGGACCTGGCGAAGACCTTCAAGGCACTGGACGTGGACAAGGACGGCACCCTCTCCTTCAGCGAGTGCCGCGGATGGAATCGGCCAAAAGCGGGTCCCGCAGTTTGGGTCTTTGCAAAATGGGCGTGGCTAGTAGTCAACTGGGCTTGCCCGACTGTCCTGGCAACGGAAAGGAAACAAAAACAGGAGGACGCCCAAAAGCATGTTTTGGCGGTTGGGTTCCATGGATTTTCGGGGCGCTTCCCTACGCGCCTCGGGCCTAAGGAACCCCCAAGACTGCAAAAGCCAAGTGCACCCCAGCCACCCGTTCTGGACTTCTTTCAATTTGCACCCACTCGCAAAAACCATGTTTTGCAGGGCTAAGGCTCAGTCCGTCGACTTTGAAGCTTTCTAGTGTATCGATTTGAGGCCATTTGCCCATCGCAGACTGGGATTCCTACGGTTTCCCTGGAGCCATGTGTCACTTTGGCCCCAAACGATTGCCACGCGCTGGAATGAGGAGGCGCTTCCCATATTGGGAACCTCCCCCTTCGAGTGAAGAGTTGGTCACTGGCGTCCATTGAAGTGGCATCCTCAAGATGGTCCTTTCAAAGGCAATCCAAACCGCCAATTGGTGGGTGTGTCTTTTGTTAGGGGACCCCCAAAGGGGAAGTTTTGCTTTTGGGTTCCCTTCAAAAACTACACCACCCCGAAACATGATTTTGAGTGCAGCCACTTTCAGGGACCCTGAATTAAGGCCGTGCTTTTTCGCTCAGAACTGGAAAGCCGTTTCGCTGCCTGATGCTCAAGCGAGGTTCACCTCCGGTGCGCTGCTGCTCTATCAAGATTCGCTGGAAGATGAGCTGCACGTCCTCTTCTCCGGCTGCGACAAGGACAACGACGGCATTCTGAACGGGGACGAGGCGGGGCGCCACCTTAGATTCATGGACCGCTCCCAACCTGCCCCGCAGGAGGGTAGCCATTGCAGCAGTGAACACCTTGCTCAGTGTGTTGAGTCAGGTCAACCCCAACAATCGCCGTTTTCTCCGGGCTCATTGGTTGCAACTGGGCATGGTTGTGGGAAGCATGGTTTCAGTTTTAGGGTCCATTTCAGTGATTCCCAGCCCCCCCCTGTAAAGTGATTGGTTTGTGGACAAACGTCACAGGCGGAAGAGTTCCTCCAGAGCGTGCGTGCAGCTACCGACCTGGGGAGCAAATCCTCGAGAGAGATTGAGGGGCCTCTCGCCTGCAGGGGCTCGCTGAGATCGGGGAAGGTCAGCCAGTGTGGGTCTATGTGGGTCTGTGTTCGTTTGAGGGTACCATGTCCACCTTGGTTTAGAGTGAAACCAACAGGAAACACACATGTTTGGGGTCTCCCAATGTTATGGCTTGCTTGGCTGGAGGTAAAGCGAGCTCTCCATGATGTGGGTGGGTCCTTTGAATGGAGTTAAGGTTGTAAGACTTCCATTTGGGTTTGTCATTTTTTGGGAAACCACAGATCAACAATGTTGGGGCCCTAGTTTTGAGAAAAGCATACGTCGCGGTTGTTGTTGGTTGTTGCTAGTTTTGGTTGATTCCAGTGTTCGTTTGTTACTAGCTCCGTTTCTTGCTGGAATTGATTTATATGAAGTTCCCCAGGGATGGATAGTTGCATATGAGTTCATCGGGTGGCTTTTACCACCAGCGTTTCCATAATTTGGGTCCTGGGGTTGTTACTTTGAGCAGACCCGGACACCCTATGAGAGGATCTTTATCATGGGGGCTGAGCATTGGCAGGCTCAAAATGAATGCTGGAGAGTTCTTTGAAACCCTCGTGAGGTGATTATAACCCGGGAACCCCAAAACCCTCCTTTTTGGGGACCCTCTTCCAGGAACTTCCGACTTGCCGCCGGGGGGACGGGGGTGGGTGCCCCAGCTTTCTTCCAGCTTTGTGCCTTGCTTGAGGTTCCTGCGGAGCGGACAGGTGACCTTCCAGCAGCTCAAGGCCTGGGCGCAGTCGGTGACCCTCATACGGCAAATGGGTTCCTTTGCAAAACAAAGGGGTGTTCAAAGGGTTTCCCACTGGGTTTACACAGGGTGTGCAAAGGGCTTTCGAAGGGTTTGCACAGGAGAGAGCTGGAAAGGAGTTACAAAGGAGCACGGGGAGTTTCAAAGGAGGTGCAAGAAGGCTAACATGGGTTTACTACCCGCCGACTTAGCCAACTGGCTGAGAATGGACAACTTATGATACGGGACCCTTTAGCGAACATCAGATACACATGGGGGTTTATGTCCCTCAACCATTGTTGAGGGCGTTCCCCAGCACAATGCTGGCTAGAACGCATCCAACATGTGTGCTTGTTTTCCGTTTGGTCCCACTTTTGAGCTAAAAGTGAGGCGCACAGGTTTAAGCAGTCAGACGGTGTACCATTTCAACAGATCCGCCCTTGAGCAACGCAGTTTTCCTATTTTTTGGGAGGTGTTTTTGGGGAAGAACCTGGGGATTCTTTAAAGGAAGCAGGGATGGTTCACAGGGGCCATCCTCTATCCAGGTGCTTGGCCTCATCCTGTCAGGATTTCCTTGTGGCTCCAATCGGGTCGCGGCCCTCTTCCACATCTTCGCGCCGGTCCCACCGCTCGCAGCACTCCCAGGGCTCCAGATAGGCCAAAAACAAGAATGAGCAGTGCCCAAGAACCCGTCTTGTGTTGGCCGTTTGGGCCAGCAGTTCATTGCCGCACTTGACTCGTTGTCCTTCGGGTTTCCATTGTTTTCTTTTGTGGCCAGAAGCAACAGACTCCTTTTTGTTTATAAGCTGCGATGATGGCGAGGCACATGCAGCAACCAGACACCCAGCGCAAAGAAACTGGGGGTCTGGACCATTTCGGCAAATCAAGGGTTCTTGTGCTGCTCGCATGACCAAGTCATAAGCACGGAAAATTGAGCAGTTGCCCGAGGATTTGCGTCGGACGTGCGAGTTACAAATTGACCCCGCATGAGCGCCCCGGGATTCGGGGAAAAAAGAGAGCTTCAGGATCACAAGCACCGTATTTCAGGATCTTTAAAAACAATAAATCATTTAAAAGCATGCACAGGCGGAAGAGCGCCCCCTCCCCCCTTTCAGGTGGGGAGAGCCAGTTAGCCTGAACAAGTTAAGATTCTTCGGCGGTTGGCAACCCCTTTCCCAACCCTTCCACCCTAAACCCACACTACACAAGCACTAGAAGCTGCCTAAGTCTCCCTAAACCTAAGTCTCTCTAAACCTTGCTTAAACGACAGCACAACCCACACTAAACCCGCACTAAAGAAACCCTACGGAAATCTTGAACCCGCAGTGCTAAAACCCACCATGGAAGAACCCGAAACCCGACGTAAACCATCACCAACACCCGCAAGGCCCTAACCAGCACTAAACCAACCTCAACCGTTCAACATTTAAACCAAAGCAAGTTGTAAACCCACCCTAGGTAACCAAAGCCTACCCACCCCAAACTCAGTCTGAAAAAGCTTGTGGCCGGGGTTGTTGAACACGATGCTGGGAGTGCTGGTGTAAAAGGCGCATTTTGTTCGCAAATGCCGAACCTAGTAAAAACAACTGCCCGCCGAACCTAAGAAATTCAGCTCTTCCGCCGCCACCCTGCCTTCGTCTTGCTTTCCTCCTGCCCCCCAGTATTTGAGAGTTATTCTTTTTGATTCTCTACCCGGGTGCCGCCCCCTGCACTACGCACAATGGCATAGAGAACGTCCCCCCAAGATGAGAAAGTTGCTTTTCTCGGGGCCCTTGTCTAATCATTCCCTTTCAAGCAAGTGAAGGCATGAATCATCAAATCCTCGGAATGACTTGCCCCGCCCGGGATGGGCTTGCACGGATAGCTCTCACGAACGTGAGATTTGCGCAGATGCGCAAATGCGCCCACTGCGCGGTGTCACGGCAACTCCGCCAGAAGATTTCTTGGCGTGACAGGGCGAGGCAGAAGGAATCTTTAGAGTGAAGATGCATGTGGGATGAGGAGGGGTCGGGCAAGTTTCCTCAGCAAGATTGCTTTCTGACTGCACCATTTCTGCCACACCCTGATCGATTGGGTCGTTGACTGAGTAATGCCTCGCAGGAACAAGGGACGCCAATCGCAGAGAAGCCTGTTTTTTGAATGGGCCAACTGGCTTTGGAGGCATGCCCTCTTAATGTTGACCCCACTGAGAGGCGGGTTGTCACCTACGAAAGTGAAGGGACACCCAGCAGAAGGGGAGGCTCCCACAACCAGGGCTTTATAGGTGCTTAAGATGACGTTGGCGTGACCGGTACTTTATTCCGTGGTTCACATTAGTGGTTTCCCAATTTGTGGTGGAGGATTGAGCAGTTGGATCAAAGGTCCCCGAGAAGAGTGGATGTTCACATGTGGGGTTCCAGGTGTGAAACCAAACAATGGGCTCCAAGTGCGCGATAGCGCGAGCGTCCTTCGCTTGAGTCACGGACAAAGGTCGTGCATGATTCTGCTCTACAACTTCTACCCTTGGACCGTGAATGACGTGCGGCGCGCAAGCCTAAGTCCCACAAGGTTCACGTGGGGCTTAGTGGATTACACGTCGGGTCGACGAACGTACACGGGCCAAATAAACACACCATGCTGCGATCATGAGCTAATTTTGCTTAATTGTTCCCCACAAAAACATTCTGATTGAATGTTTAGGCGCCAACAGAAGTCTAAACCACATGTTGTGGGGAACACCCCTTGCAGCCCTTGGGTCGAGGCGCTGGACATCCTGGATCCTTGCTTTATGGAGCCAAAGGAAGGCATTGAAGGAAGTCCACTAGAGGTACACCAGGAAAAAGAAGCACTGAATATGAATGGGATGGTTTGCAGGAGAACCTGCAGGAAGCCAGGTGTTTGGAGCTGAGAGTTCCCAGCGCTTCCGGAACCTCATCCTTTGAAACTTGTTCAGTGGCACTTGGGGTCCACTTTTGCTTTTAGTGGCCTCCCCTCTCAACTTTGTCAATCCCACCAGCTCCATTTTCTACCAGGGTCACTGAACAGCGGAAGCCACAAGGACCTTGGCGATGGATCACTTTTTCCTGACCCATTCAACACGTTAGCGGTATGGAGACGGCGTCCACTGCCTCGAAACCAAACGCCTGCGACAACCAGGTACTCGTAAAGTTCAACTTCAACTTTTGACCGGTTTTGGGTATTAATATTGTTACATTTGTTTCAGCAAGGACGTCTAGATGTACGATTATGTATTTGGAAGTCATGTTGGCAATATGCATACATGTGTTTATATGACACGTCTATCTCGTATAGTTCTTGTTCTGTATAATTGTGCATACACCATGCTTTATTTTCACAACCTAAAACGGCATGATCTTGTACAGTGTGGCAATCTACAGCACATGGTACAGCATAACGCAGCATGGCATAGCATACTGCAATATAAGACGCTGTAACTTGTAATTTCTTTGGAGGGGCGCTTATCTTGAGCCGGGCCTGTGCTTCTATCGGGGCTGGATGACGTCCCTTCTGAGGAAACATTTGCCACTGAAGTTTAAGCTTACCCTGGGGCAACAATAAAATGGGACCCTGCCACCAGTTCAGGCTCTTGGGAAGCTTGCAAAAGAATAATTGCGTGACATCAGGGAGTCGTTCCCCGCCCTGTGCAGTAAGTGGGCAAAAATCAGAAGGTTTCCCATTTGCAGAGGCAGTGGCGCTTCCCACCTGGTCTAAGCCACTTCGGGCAACCGGTACTTCCTGTCTATTGCCGCTCAATCGCTCAGGCCCTGCCACCCCGGGCCCACAGGGAGCAACCACAGGTTCCGAGGCCAAACCAGGATTTTTCAATGGCCTGAGCATTATCTTTTCAATGGCCAGGATGGATGAACCAGCCTGAGATGTTCATCTTTGCAGGTGCCATGTGAAAAAGCTTTGGCGGTGTTCTTGGCCTCAGTCTGAACCCCGACGATCGGATCGGCTGTTTTGGCTCAGCGGGAAGTTGCTCTGAAGGGGTCAGCCCTGAAGGTCCAAAAGGGGGCCGCGCACATGTTCGGCTGAAAAAGGCCCGGAACGTTTGGTTGAACTTCTTTTGGGGTGGCCCCTGAAGGATTCCCAATCTCTGGATTCCGAAGGACCAATCAAAGCTGGAAATGGCTTGATCGATAAGCAAAACGCCAGTGACACCCAGTGAGGCAAGTGGCTGGTTCGACGCTTAAGCTAATCGTCTTCGGAGCAACTTCCGAACAAATCGGACCCTGCACGCCATGCTGTCGCTGCTGGTGATTTGCCTTAGCCTCCGCCTCAGACACCGTTAGGCATATCCCACCCCCTTAGACATAGACTTGGGGGATTTAGACCCGTGGAGATCTCCAGTTATGTGTGTGTGTATTTGTTTCTCTTCTTTTTTCCATGTTTTTCTTTTTTTTCTGCTTTTATGAGGGGAGAACCAGAAAAAGTCGAATTGGGGCACCCCCTGTCCGGAGGCTTGCCTTTCATGGCTGTTCAGCCATGACTCGACTTGCCAGTCGGACCCCGTTTTCCTTCTTTGCTTTTTTTGCTTACCCCAAACCGAAACACAATTTTGCAGCCTGTCTTGGCGGAAACGGAGTCATGCTCGGTATGCAAATGCATGCCATGTTGGGCAGGGACATGTCACACCCGCAAATAAATGGTGCTGTTTGGGGGGGAAGCGGGGTGGCGGAGGCGGCAGCATTGCTCGTTGTGAACATGTTCGTTTATAAACACACACACACACACACGGCTGTTTGGCCTGAAAACATGGTAACATTCAATGCTGTACGTTTGGTTTACTGTAATTTCGACTGTCCGCCTCAGATATATAGTTTCCATAAATTTGCTAGGATTCTGTGGGTACCCTCCTCAAATGGTGCTCTGTTTGGTAATGACCCTCGCGTTTGCAAAGTTTTCGCTTGTCCTTCCAAGCCACAGATTTTGCTCAGCTTGTTTTTCAGCGAATCCACGCACATGAGCAACCCTTACCTGGCAAGTCCTTCATTTCATGTGCATAGTCTGCACAAACTGCATTGCGCTCATTTGGGGGCCATAATGATGGATCTTTGAGATTCCAATGTGTGAGTTATTATTTGCAATTTGTCCGGATAATTCAGCCTCATTGTTCAGCTCCCATTGTTTGCCAGCCCCCTTACTCAACCAAGAGCGGCTTGGATGCTCAACTCACTTAACAAGACAATGAAAGTAGATGGCACAACCGTTTAGGTTTCATTCAGTTCTTCACTTTCGGAGATAAAAGGTCGCAGTGCCATCTACTTTCACCTCGGCGGAGGTGGATTGAGCATCCAAGTGCAATCAGGGCCTAAATGTACACGCAGACACTCAGAATGGGGTTTTGTTGGCACTGGCATCCCAAACTGCCACAGGAGTTTGTTGCATTTCCAAGTGGGCCGAATGAACACCCAGCATGGATTGGTGGTTTGGGGTATTTGAACGTGGTCTCGAGGAAAAACGGGAAGCTGCCCACCTCCAAACCATAATCCAGCGGGAAGCTGAGGTAACATTGGGATTCAAACACTTTAGCATCACACCCTGCATTTTTGTTGTTTTGAGGCGGGGTCCCTTTTTGGTGGCCGGATGCCTTTCTGCAAGCAGGGCCATCTTTCACAGCGATGGCCTTCGGGATGCGTCCCTTGATCGGTTCCCTCAAGACATCCAGAAACCGGCTCGAAAAAGTGGGATCCGCAAAATCCGCGGGTCTTTTGACTGGCCGTGCCCTTTGGGGGTGGCCTCTCGGAAACCCGTAGGCCTGGCATCTGGAGAGCCCAACCTACGGGGCGCCGAGCCCCTGCCGCGAGATCTGCTGAAGTGCGGGGTGCCGGGGTTCAGGACCGATGGGATCCATCTGCCGTTGAATCCAGTTGCTTAAGAATACTTCCTATCTTCCCTTGTTGGCTTCAAAGGGGATTTATCACCACTGGACATATATTTTATTATTTTTCCTGTGGCTTAAGCAAAAGGAATTCCTCGCGAGTTGTGCGAAACTTGCACCAAACAGGTTGCAAGAGGTGGGTGTGGGTGTGGGTGTGGGCGGGTGTGGGTGTTGGTGCGCCTGCGCTTGCACGTGTGACGTTGTTGTTTCTCTCTCTCTCTCTCTCTGTCTCTCTCTCTGTGCGAGCGGTAGTTCGCCGAAATTTTTGGAGGTGGCTGACTCGTGATGTATGCAGGGTTGCGCGGTGTGGTGGGGATGGTGAGGGTGGTGGGGGTGGGGATGGGGGATTGGGCTTTGCTTTGTTGATTTGGACCCGGTTGCATGGCCAATAGTGTGTTCAAAAGCTGCAATGCGAGCTGGACGTGTTCAAAAGCGCGCATTGCAGAAAGCAATCGGTTTGCTGATGTGGATGTTGCAGCCATTTCCTTATTGTAAACATGGCGTGGCTCTTTGTATGCCGACCTGGCGCCCAGGACTGCAAGTGTGGACGCAGAAGGTTGATTCCGAACTCTGGCTCACTCAATATCCTGCCTCACGTCCTCCCCGGCGATACTGGTATTATGGATTTTGCGGGATGTCACTTCTTTCTTACTGCCAGGAGACACGGCGAGCGCATCATGCCTCTTGCCTGCAGGGAGAATTGACAATCCCCAGCCCAGAAGTAACACCCTACCCAACAAGCAATGTGCGGGGGGCGGGGGGCGGGGGGGGCGGCATAGCCCAGCAAAGCAGCCCATCCCCATTCATTGCACAATGCACGGAGCTAGAGCCCCACGTGTTCCCAACTCGTGGCTAGGGACCCTCATTCGCCAACCTCCTTCTGCTCATTGCCTGCATTGCACCCCTTGCAGTCAGTAGATGTCGCGGTACAGTCGGGTACCCCCATCTTTGGAACCAAGGGAGCCAAACGCAGGTATTTCTCAAAACTAAAACGGACCCCTCCAGGTGATGGTTTCCTGTTGGTTTGCCCTTAAACTCATGCCAAAGGGGTCCATACTTTTCAGACATACCCTTGCTCTGAGGCCGACCTGCTAAGCCAGCTTGTTCGGTGACACCTCTGGGTGGGTTCCTTATCATTTTTTGCACCCACCCCCTAAGTAATGTGTGGAAGGGGGGCATACCCGCTAAAAAAGGACCGTTTCTGATGCATGTTACCATATGTTTCCTTTGTGGGTACAAGGACAGCTACGTAGGAGGGCTGTCCACGCTTGTCCCGATAGCAGGTGTTTTGTCGTAGCCACTGACCAAGCAAGCCATATCAAAGGGCAAGGACATGCAGCTGTAGACCATGGACAGTTTGCAAATGCTCATCCCCGAGCTAAAGCGAGGGAGGGGTGTATTGAGATGGGATTTCCCCTAGCATGAACGAAGAGAACGTGTCCCCGTTCCGCTTGCCTCTGAGCAATTATAGCTCGGACAACCACTATTTTGTAGGCAGGGTCGGGCAACATTCGAATAAAACCAACCCTGATGTTTCTTCAAAGGTAAGCCCAGAGGCTGTTCAGTGATACAATGGCGCTTTCAGTATTCTAAGGGCTGGCCGAACAGTGGCCAAACCCTGGACCCCGGTTTGTTTGTATGTGTGTGTGTTTCCTTCCCTTCCTCCCTGCGGCTTTTCGGGACTCGGAGCTAGGCATGGCAAAAGCGCGGAGGAGTGCAAGTGGAGGCACAAATCTGGGGCTGGCGACAATGCATGGGAAACTTCGTGACTCACAAAGTCCTTTCCTGTGAGGGTTCCGCAAGGATCCCGTTGAGTCCCCCAAAATCCAACGTCCACTTGCATAATGAGCCGGACACGGCAAGATTAGAACCATTAGAGGAAACCACATTTGCGGATGTTTAAAGAACAGTGGCTGAAGGAGGTGCAAGCAGGTGGTTGGCCGCCCTGTGCATCCCCCAATGTGATGTACGACTCCTGATTTATAAGGTTCCTGGAGGTTTCGTGGTTTGGTGTCCTGTGATTGAAAACAAGGCTCCCTGATGTTGGCGTGTGCAGTAGTTTGGGAAATCGTCCATGCCGGGCCATGGCATGATCGTGTGTTGTTTTGCGAACGCCGAGGTTTGGAAGCAGTGCGACAAATCATTTTCGGGGGCAGCGATATCGCAGCAGTTGTAACTTTTGACAGGTCTCCAGCTATGTTTGTTATATTCCAGTGACCCTGGACCAGCATATGCTGCGGTTCCACTCAGGACACTTTTTGGCAAGTGCCATACCCATTTGCATGACGCATGGCAACTTGTGTGCGGGAGGATGTTGTTGGACCTTCAATACCTCAGCTTCTTTACTGCGGGGGGGGGCTTCCTGATTTCAGTTTGCGGACAAGGCAAACGACAGTTTTAGGCGGATTCAGTCAATGAGTCAAGCTTCAGGAGGCGAGTGGCCCATTTTTCCATTTGGGCAAGTACCAGTTCGCCGGTCGATGCGAGGGCTAGTGGCCCCTTAACCTCGAAGCGAGAATTGAAGGGATGCTAAGGAACTTTGGTTGGAGGGTGATCTCAACTTGCCCTCCCACCCACTAGCATGCTTAGATCCTTTTTATGGAAGGGCATGGTTTGACATGTGTTACAGGAACCCCCCGCCCCAGGTCACGTCCATGTATGTCCATGTAAGTGGGAGGGCGACCTGTAGCCCAAAGTCAGATTCGGTCGCATCGTCTTTTCTGGAATCCGGCCCTTGCGTTTTTCGCTCGATTCTTGCGGGGCAAGTCATCAGTCATCAGGGTGTCGTTGGAACATCACCTATGCCAATGGCGCTTGGCCTTACGTCTCTTTTCAATCGTCGGCAGGTGGCAGGTGAGCCTCCATGACAGCCGGCTGAATGCGTCCTCCCACTTTTGCGGTGGAACGCTGATTGATCCCAAATGGGTGCTGACAGCTGCGCACTGCGTGGGCTCTTACAGCAGCTTTGATAAAGAAACATCGCAGGTTCGGAGGGAGGGAGGGGGCGGAGGGAGTGAGGTGGGCTTTGTGCCACCTGGCTTTGACATGCGCCTGAGCAAGTTGAGTTGGAGGGCTTGGCCTTCAAAAGTTCTAGCAAATCACAGGGGAGGGTGACCTGGCCCATGAATTCCCTTGGGGTGCTATGAGTTCCGGGGCTTGCTGTTGGGGATGCCACCTGGCCTCTGGTCAAAAGCGCCCGTCCAAACAAACAGCGCCCACTCAGGGGACCCTAAAGTTCCAGGTTCTGGCTTGCACTAAGTTGAAGTCATGCGTGCATCAGTGCATCCTACAAACCAAGTTGCTGGAGCTCGTTTCGCGTCACCCCAGGAGTCGTTGTTGGCAATATGGTGTCAATTTTGTTTTTGCTTTCTGCCCTTGTCGTTTATTTGTCGTTTGCAACTTGTGCATAAATCGACCTTTCGAGTTTACGGTTGGTCCATCTTCAGTCAAGGCATATTTTCAGAAAAAGCCACCCCCGTGTGGCACCTGCCGTTTGAACAGCTCGGATTTTCACACCAAAGGTCGGTGCGACCAGCGCTTCATGTCGGTGGCGGCCGGCGAGTGGAGGCACGGCGCAGCGCGGTCCATGGAGCGCAAGGTGAAGAGGATCCTAACTCACCCCAAGCGCGGCCCTCAGCCATCGAACAGGGGCGGATCCTATCACATGGATTCCAATTTACTCATCGAATTGTCGTTTCCTCGAGGTCCACAAATGCGACATGCTGAAAGCTTGGAGGGGTGCTAAGCCGCACGACGTTTAGTTTCCTAAAGTTAAGCCAAAGGATATATGGGTGATTTTCTCCGGAGCCCTTAGCCAACACCCAGGCCACCTTTCGACTGCTCCTTTAGGTTCGTTGAGCATGTCCATTCTATGACTGAAGTTTCTGAAACCGGTCGCTCTTTTTTTTGTCGGTGGATCAATCACTTAACACCCAAAAAGGGTCCATGCACTCAAGGAGAGTCCCTTCAAATGGGCCCCCTGCAGATTTCGGTTCCCACATTCCGGCAACCCATCCACACATTACCTCTGGGGGTGGGATGGCTAGTGGCAACATTTCAGAAAAGATAGTTGTGCAGAGGAATCTCCTTTCGGGAAATGGACTTGAATGACGCACATGGTGGGGCCCCACATGAATTTGGAGAGTGCTTGAAGGTTTGGCGTGTGCCTAAGCGAAACAGCTTCTGGTGCAGATCTTGGTGGTAGTAGCAAATATTCAATTGGGAACTTTGAAGGCTGAGGGTTCCATGTGAACAGCAATTGGACATGGCTTAGTCGATCCTAAGAGAGAGGGATGTTCCGCACACGCAAGCGCTGCTTCGTTCCTCGAAAGGGAATGGGGGTATTATTTTTTCAACCAGGTTGTGGATACTGTACGGCAGGAATTTTGGGTTGGTATGGTGAGTGAATTAGGCTGAAAATCCCGGGATTTCCGTTCGTTTTCCAATGCTTCACCCTAGGTACTGCAGCGAGGCGCCGAGCGACTTCGATTTCGCCCTGCCGGGGCGCCAGGTGATGAGAGCGCTGGAAAGGTTTGGAGGCTTGTAGGCCTACCCGGCATTGTGCGCACTTGATGAGCTCACCTGGAGGTAAAAAGGGGTCACCATGTAAAGGATCTATTGTAAACATGGACGGCTTTTGACGTCATACTTGCGGCAAAGATAAAGCAACGGAATTGAACAAAGCCAGATGTACAGTCAGTAGATTCTACATATTATTGGCATTTGGTATGCTTTGAAGTTTGAACCCGCCAGGGTCCCTAGTTTTTGGACGGGCACTGGTATAGATTTGCTGAGTGCGGGAAACCGTTGCCAACAATGCAAGCGCCGCCTGACTACGGATCAGCAGGGTGTTTCCGTTTCACAAAATTGAAGAGGGCCCTCCAAAGCAGAACTCTCCCTGTGAATCAACGGTGTCTTGCATCAACTGGGTTTCCGATTTCTCCAAATCCGGGAAGAGCACTAACACCCAGCAGCCTTGAATAGTCCCATGCCCACCAGGGCAACAGCAATCAGGGGACCCGAGGTAATAAACAGGTTGCAGCTTGCACAGAAAGACCATCATGCGAGCATCCGACAGGAACCCATTTCGAACCCAGTCAAGAGGCCCACCTGGCAGGCTCCTTGCGCTCCGAGGTTGGAGCTGGAAGAGGCCCTGCCAAGCAACGAGTGCATCGGGGTGGCGTGCCTGCCCAGCAACGCCGACCTCACGGAGACGAGCTGCAGCATCACCGGTGCCGTGGCCCAGTTTTTTTCTTCTTTTTTTTTTCTCGAAGGCACTCTTTGGAGGTTGGTTCAAAGAGAAGCCAATGAGGTTTTTTTTTCCTGGGGCCCCCCTTTCTTGACACATGCCCAATGGAATTGACGGAAGGGGCGACCGATTTCCCTTTCCTTCCGGCAGTTCTTCGAGCCCCACGAGCCAGGTTGGGGCACAGTGGGAGGCGGCCAGCACCCCGTGACCCTCCAGGCGGGCGACGTGAGCTATGGCTTGGGCGGCTATAGCCCTTGGCCCATCCGCAAGATGGGTTGCTTTTGGTTCCCCGTGCAACTGCCCCAGGGAAGAAAAACAACACCCCTGTATGGAGCATTCCGGTTGGCTCAGCATTCACCGTGGGTTTGTCATCGGAAGCCCAAGATGTTGGTTGGGCCTTTAAGTAGGCGCAAGTCCTCCTCTATCACGGCGTGAAGCTCCCCACCCAAAGAAGAAGTGTCACGTTCTGCTGTTTGCCCACGCATTTGAAACATGGACGCAGGAGGCCTCCGTTACGACGTTGTCCTCCGACCTATGCACAAAACGCTACGCGGAGCAGAACACCAGTGCCCCGGCAGTCAGCTTTCTGTTTGGGGCTGATCGTTGGGGCTGGTTGTCGGGTCTTACGGGGCGTGATGGTTGTTATGATGTGGGGCCGAGGTTGGAACTGTTGGTTGGGCGTTGGTGGTGTGGGGTCCAGTTGTTCTTGATTGCTTTTGTGACCCCGCTCGGAACAGCGACCCCCCCCGGCATGTGTTTCTAAGCAGCAGCAAGATCATTCAGAAGCATGCGCCAATATTGAACTTTGCGTTTAAAGCCTTACTTGTGCAGATCCGACCTTCTGGTGTTGTGTTTTGGCTGATTTCAAGATTTCGTCATGGTCATACAAGGGGAACCCTGTTTTCCAAATCCCTTTCATCACTGCAAACAGCTCCCAGCAAGCAACTGCATGGCCTGTCTCTTCGGGGATGAGTATGCGCCACAGTTTGATGATTTGCTGAGCAGTTTTCGATGTTTGGGCTTGCTGGGACATGTCGGGTGCGCAACCCGGAGAATGGGTCCCAGCTCACGTGGTTTTTCCTAGAGGGTGGCAATGCACTGGCAAGCCAGTTGCTTGGTAGGTAGGTCCAATCAAGACGGTTCTAGCGGTTCTGGTCAGCCCAAAACTCAGCCCTCCAAATCTGCACCCACTGGAACCTCGCGCGCGGATGGCCTTAGGCATCACTTCCTCCATGATGTGCGCGTCTGGGCTTTCCGAGAGCGGCGTTACGGATGCCTGCTACGGCGACAGCGCCAAGTTGCAAAGACGGCTGGTTGGCGAGGGGCTGGTTGGGTGGCGGTACTTCTCCCAGTTCTTCACTGGATTCCATCCTTCGTCCCTTTTTGAAATTTGGTTTGGTGGCTTCCCCGATGGAAATGGGCAACCTGGTAGGTCGGAGATGGAAGTGCGCAGACCGCTTGGGAGTGGTGTAAAGACGGCCTGCCAGAACCCAGCAGAGGACGTGCCCGGACGGATCAGAGGGGCTTATTGACAGACAGCTCATTGAAATGGATTAATTCGCCAGCAGAAGGGAGACCCAGAAGGTGTTTCGAAACGGACATGTCACATTACTGTGGATGCCCCAAACGGGAAGCATGCCAAACAGAATCGCCTTCTTCAAGTGTATTGCGCTGCTAGAAAGTGTTAGCCATACTTAAATAACAAATTGTTTAATTGTTTTGTTGACGGACAAACTTCTCCTGAACCTGCACTATTTGCTTCAAGCATGGTTGTGGAAGCTGGTGAGCCAATTGTGACCCCATACTCCTTGCAACAATGACTAACACACATTAATATATAGTTATACAGTCTGGTGCTTGGCAACTTGGGCTTCTCCTAGAGGAACTTATATCGGAGATTTGCCACACACCCCACCGAGGATTTCTTATAGAATGTCCTACTGGCTTAGTCTTCTGCGTAAAAATATGCGGTTTGGGGACGAAACCGACGACCTCTGAATGCTTTCGGCCTGGCATGTGAACCCCTTGCACTTGTTAAACCCACGGAATTTGTCAAGATGCTCCCTTGGGCCGGGCGAAACAGCCAAGTGATGGTGGGGTAGCACCAATTTGTGCAACGATGTTTTCCTTCAGAACCACTTTGAAGTGATGAAGTAGTCGTGGGGCAGCCTTTTGAGGTGTCACAAGGCCCAAGGTTGTTGTTGAGTAGAGCTGCCTTTGTGGCAGGCTATCGGTTGCCGCACGCCCTGCTGGGAACCCACACGAACGGACCAAAACCGTTGGCCAGAGCCCCATTCGTTGCCAAACCCAAAGGGGGCCGTTGGGACCACGGCGCTTAGAATGTGGACCTTCAAAAGCCATCACCCGAACATCACTGGGGTGCTGCCTGCCATTGGACATTTGTCAAGAAGCCGCTCCTACTCTGGAAGATGCCGTATCCCCCGAAGCACTGCGGAGAGTTGAACATCCATCAACATGTTTTTTTTTGGGTGAGGTTGGGGCAGAATTGCTGCTAGTCCATAGTCCATTTGGAGGGGCATTGGGGAACTCACCATTTTTTGTTTAAAGATCACCCACATGTTGCCAGGGACTGATTTCGACCGTGCCTCATTGCGCCTTTCGGAAAGGCCTTTCAAACAGAGGGCCAGTCGAAGCGAGGGCCTCCCAGATCGCGAACTGAGGTGGCGGGCCCTTGGTCTGCCAGGAGGGCGCCTCCTTCGTGGTGCGGGGCGTGACCTCTTGGGGCTTCGGCTGCGCCTCTGAGCGCTTCCCCGGGGCGCCTCGGCTGGGCGGAGTTGGGGTGGGGCGGGGGTGGGGTGGGGGTGGCCTTGTGTGGGGGGCCTGTTGAGTTTTTTTGGCAAAGACCTGGTTGATTGAAAGGTTGGTTTCAAAGGTGGCATAAACCTCTGATGAATCTTAAAAGATCTGCATAAAGCATCCCAAGCTCACCTGGAGCATGAGCTTTGGGGTGTTGGTTTCTTAGGGCTCCCGCAATTCAGGTGCACATGTTTCCGTGCCGATACTGGCCCATTGACACCCTGGCACACGAGACTCCTTCGGGGTAAAAAGTGGTGCTTGCTTTCAAGGGGCCTACCCTCCCACCAACTAACATGGAAGTGCACACACACACACCCTTTCCAAGAGGAAAGTAGTCTTTCTATGGGTCTGTACACTTCCATGTTAGTCGGTGGGAGGGTAAATGAGCCAGCGATTTTGGGGCCCAAGCGCATCCCGCAGGTCTACGCCCGCGTCACCAGCGCGATGCCTTGGATCCGGGAGGCCATGTCCAGCAAGCCGGACGTGGGCCAGGCGATCCGATCCGCCGCATTGGGCGTGCGATCAGGGGCCGAGTAAAACAGCGATGCAGTCTCCATTTGCCCAAAAGAAGGCGTCAAGACTCATGACCCCCTTTTTTAAGAGACCCTTCTGTGTTTTTAAAGGTTAAGGAGACTCCAGGTACAAGCCAGTTGAAACGTCACCTTTCTGATTTGGGGACCCTCGGCCAGAGAGCTGTGAGTTCCTCTTTGAGTGGTTCCACACTTCGGTCGTGGCCCGGAGGGCGTTTCCATATACAACAAGTAACAATCACCCATGGCTCCCAGCAAAGCCCCTTGTTGAGTCGGCATGCTCATTGAAGGGTGCAGGGATCTATTGGCACGCGGTGAGCACGGGTGATGGTCGGCCCCCACCCATTCTCGGGCGTCCCCCGTCAAAGGGCTCCTTCTGTGTTCATTTCCGCCCAAGAGAAGACTTCTCCACACTTGGCAACTGAAAAGTGGTGTTTACTAGACGCTTAATCACCCCCTAGTGGCACAAGGCTGAAGGCAAACTACCATCCAAATTCTGCCTTCGCACATGAGCCTAGCGTTTAATGCACCTAAACAGGAAAGCAAAAGCACATACCCAGTATGCCACCACCCCACACCCCAGAGCGGGGGCTTCGGGAAATTTTGCCCAGCAAGAAACTGAGATGGTCCGTCACTTTGCGCAGGAAGTTGTGCTTGTGTCTCGTCTAGTTGGAAAGAAACCACTTTTCCCTTAAAGTTAAACGGAGCTGCAGCTGAAATTTGGTGCGCTCTTTGATTCGTTGGAGTCGAAAAGTGAAACCGTCTTTCTTTGAGAAACAATAATGACCTGCTCAGGGACCCGAAGCGAGTCATGCTTGATGTGCGCAACTTCCAAACTAGCATGTTAACAACAACACACATGTCCAGCCTTTCTCTTGAACGTGTCATCCGAGACGTGGCGTCAGTCGCTCAAACATCCCGCGCAATCTGTGAAATGCAATAAACACGTGACAAGAGCAAAACTCTACATGGATGGTTTCATGGAATCATCCCTAGTTTCGCCACATACGGTGAATACCCCATTGCAATACCAAAGTGGGCCGTCACTGCAGAAAGTCAACATGCTTGCTGGTTACAAGGGGCAACCAATGAAAACCAAAAGACAAACAATCAAAAGGATAAGCCAGGTACTGACCTGCTGATGGCTGAGGCAAGCTGGCCAACCAACCAACCCGCCAGCCAACCAACCAACCAATGGACCAACCGACTGACCAAGCCACCTACCCACACACACACACACACATCCCACCACTTGCCGACTTCCCTGTCTGTTAGCGGGTGGGAAAGCGGGTCTATTAACGTGAAACTTTCAAAACTACCCGTTGGCTATTTAAGGACACCCCTGCCCCTCAGTAGGCCCAAAGGTTGCGTGTATGACCTGAGATGACCCCCCTACAATTGGATGAAAGTGTATGGCACAAGTCCTCCATGTTGGTTCGTGATCGGCGGAAGTGCGCAATCACTTTCACCCTGGCGCAGCGGTGTGAACCATATAGCCCATATACAAACCTTTGGTATTCACCCCTACTGTGGATGGACAAACTGTTGCACCAGTTTGAACCCTACAAGCTAAGATAAACCAACTACCAACTGGTGCAGGATTTTGTCCATCCACTCTATGTTGGTGAGCAAAACGCCCTTTATTCCCCAGACTGCTCCTGCAGGTGGACTTTCACGGGTCAATGTGGGCTGTGACGAAGGGTGCTTGCGTCATGGACGCCCAAGGGTGCATCACCACACCCAACTATCCCTCCAACTACTCCGTGGACACCTACTGCGCGTCTTGGATCTATTTGCTCACCTGTGGGCAAAACATGCTCACCAATCCGTGCTAAAGAATTGGCAGATCTTATATTTGGGCACATCATGGGAGCAAAATGAGCTCACCCATTGAGATCCTTTGGGGATGCTTGATTTCCAGTTTGTGAATAATTTGCCCAGGTGTCGATCGAGTTGTGAATTGGCCGAGCAGGGCCTTCGCCCGCTTGCCAGGGATCATCTTGAGCCGTTGCATTGTGTTTGTATGTATGCATGTGTGTAATGTAATGTAATGTAATGTGATGTAGTGTACTGTAATTTAATGTGATGTAATGTAATCATGTACTGTAATTTAATTTGATGTAATGTTTCATGTAATGTAATGTAATATAATGTAACGTAATGTAATGTAATAGACTGTAATGTGATGAAATGAAATGTAATGTTGACCCCATATTAGTATGTAACCCCCCCTCCCCCTGAAGGTCAGAAGGTTTTGGGGGGGCAAGATTTTGGAAGGTTTGTTGCCTCCCCCCCTGGAATTGAGTTTCCATTTGATTTAGTATTGCTGGAGCTTCCTTTTGAGATCTGGAATTGAGTTTACAGTTGATGCAGTATTGCTGGAGCTTCCTTTTGAGATCTGGAATTGAGTTTCCATTTGATTTAGTATTGCTGGAGCTTCCTTTTGAGATCTGGAACTGAGTTTCCATTTGATTTAGTATTGCTGGGGCTTCTTTTTGAGATCTGGAATTGAGTTTCCATTTGATTTAGTACTGCTGGAGCTTCCTTTTGAGATCTGGAATTGAGTTTCCATTTGATTTAGTATTGAGAAGGCCAGGTTGTTGTTTTTTTGGGGGGTGGGGCCGATGGACCGCACTCATCCGGAGGTGGAGATGAGAGCCCTAAGCAAGGCAGCAGCATGAAGAGAGAAAGGTATCGAAAGAAATCATGGGCCCATTTGAGCCAAAGCACCTCATCCAGAGAAAGCATGGCAAGCAGCATGAGTCCACAATCTTCAAAAAACAATTAAACGGTCCATCCCCCAGATGGCTGCTGCTACCTTATTTTCTCCACTGCTTCTTGAGCCCATTACAACGTAAACTGTTTGTAGGTGCTAGCTGACGCTGCTGATGTTTAGATCAATTTCTTATTTGGGTGGTAATTTCTCAGTTATGAATTGTTTAGTATTGGGGGGTGTCACCCGTAATAGGAGGATTTTCAATACGGGGTCAACATTAATGTAATGTAATGTATGCATGTATGTATGTGTGTATGCACGTATGTATGTTTACCTGTAATGTATGTATGTATGCAATGTAATGTAAGGTAAGGTAATGTAAGGTAATGTAATGGTATGTAATGGTATGTAATAATAGGTATGTATGTACGTATGTATGTATGTATGTATGGTATGTATGGTATGTACGCATGTATGCATGTATGCATGCATGTATGTATGTATGTATGTATGTAATGTATCGTACGTAATGTACGTATGTAATGTATGTATGTAATGTACGTATGTATGTAACGTATGTATGTATGTATGTATGTATGTATGTATGTATGTATGTATGTATGTATGTATGTGTGTGTATGTGTGTATGTGTGTATGTGTGTATGTGTGTATGTGTGTGTATGTGATGTAAGGTAATGTAAGGTAATGTAAGGTAATGTAATGTAATGTAATGTATGAGTGTATGTATGTATGTATGTAGGAAAGTATGTATGTAATGCATGTATGCGTGTATGCATGCATGTATGTAATGTAATGTGTGCACGTACGTATGTATGTAATGTATGTATGCATGTATGTGTGTATGTGTGTAATGTATGTATGTATTTATGTATGTAATGTATGTATGTATGTATGTATTTGTAAGGTATGTATGTATGTATGTAATGTATATACGTATGGATGGATGGATGGATGTATTTATGTATATATGCATGTATGTATGCAATGCATGCACGTATGTAATATGCATGCACGTAATGAAATGTAATGTAATGTATTGTGATGTAACGTAACGTAGTGTAACGTAATGTAATGGTATGTAATGGTATGTAATGGTATGTATTGGTATGCAGTGGTATGCAATGGTATCTATGTATGTATGTAATATATGTAATGTATGTAATGTATGTATGTACGTACGTATGTACGTACGACGTATGTATGTAATGTATGTAATGTATGTAATGTATGTTTCTATGTATGTATGTATGTGTGTGTATGGATGTATGTGATGTGATGCGATGTAATGTAATTTAATGTAATGTAATGTATGTATGTATGTGTGTATGTATGTGATGTATGTAATGTATGTATGTATATATGCATTTTTATGGTAATGTAATGTAATGTAATGCAATGTAATGTAATGTAATGTGTGTGTATGTATGCATGCATGTATGTATGTATGTATGTATGTAATGTATCGTACGTAATGTACGTATGTAATGTATGTATGTAATGTACGTATGTATGTAACGTATGTATGTATGTATGTATGTATGTATGTATGTATGTATGTATGTATGTATGTAATGTATGTATGTATGTATGTATGTATGTATGTTTTGTATGTAGGTAATGTAATGCAATGCAATGTAATGTATGCACGTACGTATGTATGTAATGTATGTATGTATGTATGTATGTGTGTACGTATGTAATGAATGTATGTATGCATGCATGCATGTAATGTATGTATGTATGTATGTATGTATGTATGTATACATGTATGTATGTAATGTAATGTAATGTAATGTAGTGTATGTATGTATGTAGTGTAGTGTATCGTAATGTAATGCAATGCAGTGTAATGTAATGTAATGTAATTTATGGATGGATGGATGCATGTGTATGTATGTGATATATGTGATGTATGTAATGTATGTATGTATGTATGTATGCATTCATATATGTAATGCTATGTACTGTCATGCAATGTAATGTATGTATGTATGTTTGTTTGTATGTTTGTATGCATGTATGCATGCATGTATGTGTGTATGTATGTATGTATGTGTTTGCGCGCCTTTCGTGTGATTTGGTGTCTTTTGTGTTTGTTACTTGCTATTTGCTCGTTGTAGCTTGCGTGGGTTTATCCATTGTTTGCTTGATTGTTAGTTTGTTTGCCTGTGCGTGCTTGTGAGCGTGCATGCGTGTGCTATTGTTTATGTTGTTTTTGCGTGTGTCCGTGCTTGAGTTTGTTTGTTTGTCTGCTTGTGTGGGCTCAAAGTCACATGTGTCAAGGTCAGGAAGATGTTGGGTCCAGGGCCAGTACATTTTAGTAGGCAGGAGGGTTTCGGAAGACAAGAGCCATCCTTTGGCAAAGGCCCCTCGCCACTTAGAAAGAAGTTGCCTCTACGTTTGTGTTTTCTTTCTTTCTTTCTTTCTTTCTTTCTTTCTTTCTTTCTTTCTTTCTTTCTTTCTTTCTTTCTTTTTTTGGTTGGAGGGAGGGCTCCCCAGTTGGCAGGCTTTGTTGCATACGTGGGCTCGCCAGCAGGCCATTGCGGTGAACACCAGCGGGGCGCGGCCCATCCTGGTGGAGGACTTCTCGACGGAACCGGCCTACGACCAGCTGCTGGCCCCTCGGCTTCCGGCGGGGGGGTGGGAGGGGACGGACCGGATTCCCAAAAGGAAGCCTCCTGTCCATGAAAGTTGGAGGGAGGGTCACCGCTTGACAGAGAGCCAGAAGGAGGTTGTTGAAGCAGGCGTTCAAACACGTGTCAGAAAATCGGCCCACCTCTGGCAATCGGCGTGTTCTCCGATTCGCATGAGAGTCGAGGCCCTTACTGGTTTGGCTTCAGCTGCTTGTATCCCAAGCTCGCCAGTTCAGGGGCAAAACAGGCGAACTCCCATGTAGGGCCTTTGCTTGGGATCCCTTGTTTCAGCCTTGTTATGCCACTGATTTCAGTTGGTTTCGGTTGGCTTTGTGCTCTTGGGGATATATTGCAATTGTTTCATTTGGCTTCAGTTTGGTTCTGAACGCTTCTCAGTGCAATCGATGTTGACTTTTGTAAGGATCGCAGGCGTGAGGGGATCTCCTTCGATGTCACCCGGGGGTCCTCATGAAACATGTGAATCCTAGTTTTGGTGATGTGTCCGGGCAGCATGGAAAGATTGAAGCATTTGTTTGTGGCGCCTCCCCTTAAGGGACCCCGTGCTTGGACTTCCAATATGTTTTTCTCTAGTGCAAAAGTGGGGTGCCTACAAACAATGCGGAACTTAAAAGCACGCATTCATAGGCGAACCTTCTGTTGGGGAACCCTTTTGTTGGGTTCTTTCTCTGTGTTTCATAGAATTCATCGGCCGGCACATCTTTAATAACGCGTGGGTGTGGCATGTCAGCCATCATGGTACTCATTGGCCTCGATTCTCAAAGTGGGTTTCTTTCAGTCCTCTTCCAGACGCGGCCGCAGGACCTCACCTGGGTCTGCAGTTTCCGTTTGCTCATCATTTGCCGGTTCACAGCCACCAGGAGGCCTTTGCAGCCTACGTCAGTGACTAAGAGTGCCGATAGGAGGACAACCAATGGTCATAGCCTTTTTTTGACTCCCGTCACGACTCCCGTCGCTCTGAATCAATGTTGGAGCTCAGGTGAACTGCGAGTCCTTCTCAGGGGTCAAGGGCCCCGAGGGCGTGACCCCCTTCACGGACTTGTGGTGGGTGTCTGATGGCAGAACAGTGGGACGCGGCTGGAAGCTTTGCCCGGGCATTTGAGTCCCATCCCGAGGGGAGCCGCCAGCCAAGGCCCTGGTTGAAAGCCTTTCCCAGTCTTTCCATGCTTGTGAACATCAGATGTTTGGGCCACTTTCTCTGATATCAAGGGGAAACCCCTTGAAGGTGACAAAGTAGCCATGGCAATGACCCATGTTTGTATTACAGAGAGGGTGATTTTTGACAAGCATGCAGTTGTTCAGTGGCACCCTGTAAATCCCTTTTTGTTTGGTAAGTTCTCTGTTCAAGTGGTCAACCCCAAAAGGGTTCCATTTTTTCCAACAGGATCACTGGACAACCGGGCTTCAGCTTGCCACTTAAGCCTGTTCTTTCTCCAGACAAAAGGGCGCCCTTTCCTGGGCAGTTCCTGTTTTTAGATAGGGGTAGGCAAAAGTTTGTTTGGGACAGGATGTGAAGAAATGGCACTATATGTATATATTGCTTTGGATTGCTGATCGACAAGGATGGAAAAGGGGATTAGCTCCAGCTTATCAGTGTAATTTTGCAGTGTTGCGACCCCACTTACGAAAAGCATGCAACTCCGAGCAAACTATGTTTTTCTTGAACCCTATTTATCACCGTGCGTAACCACATTATTGGTATGGACCCAACTCCCTTCAGAGAAGAGCCCTAGTTTCTGAAATTGGACCCCCCCCAAGAAGGAGATTCCTTTGCAGCATGCAAAGGGGTTGCTTGTTTGTTTCCCTGTTAAGCTGCAGGAGGGCAGACGCGCAAATGTGGCGAAACATAGCGACCTCAAAAGACGTTTTACTTGGTTTGCAGACCTCACGTCACGCGTGATGCATTTTGCTTTCATAGGAAGCTTTGTTTGGTTGGTGGATTGTTGCAACTGGCCCAGAAGTATGTCCGATTTAGACCGGCGGCTAGCCAAAGCCTGGCAGTTGCCGCCTTGCGTAGTGGGCTGCAACTGGCTGCAAGCGGCAACCCTGGAAGCTTTGAAACGGCGTGTCCGATGACGAGATCTTTGCAAGTAGGGCTTGCCAGTCGCTTTTCTTTTGATATTTGCCAGGGTCGGAAGAATGGTTTTCTCGAAAGACAACCACAAGGGACTGGTAATTGTTTCATTGTTTCCAGGCCTCTGATTGCATCACCCAGTAGGCAGTGTTGTGGAATCGAAGCCCTTGTGCCACACGAAAGGCAACAGGCAAGCCCTGGAATCGATTGCGAGGCGGCCGAGCTCCGACCACGGACCAATTTGGGCCCCCCAGGCTGTGGAGCTTAACGAAGCTATCCTCTTTTTTCTTTTTGGTCTTGGACTGGTAGCAATGCCATTCAATCAAGGGACTCGAGGGACCCGAGGAGAGCTGACATGTTTGCCATAAGACAAAGTAGAGGTAGAGGACAGATACACGTTCCCAAGTCCGACTCAAGTTTCTGGCTCAGTGCCCTTTGCCTGTGGCGACCCTTGGCCTAACAAAGCTCAAAAGTGACCATGGGTACAAGGAATCCTTTGCAAAGAGCACCCTCGCCACAAACTGAAAGTTCACCTTTGATCTCTCAGACCCAGAAAAGCATGAGCGACTAAACAGGTGTATAGAATGGATTGTTGGGTACCTGAAAGCCAATTTAGTCAACAACAAGTAATTAATGACTTAGCTCTTTGCTGGACCGTGTGCGCGCTGGCCCGAGCTTGCGTAAGGGGCACTGGCGGGAACGCCGCTATGCCCCTAGGTTGTTTCCAGGTGAGGCCAAGCCAGAGCCCCTGAAAAGCTGCAATTGGACGACTCGCCGACAAACGGCCATTCTGCTGGTTTCATCATCCCGCATGCACCACTCAACCCTGACTTTTTGCGCTGTGAGCCGTCAGCCAGGGCGTCATGGGAGTGCCATTTCTGTGAGACTAAGGGAACCCATGTCTAGAGCATTTGGCACTTGACCGGTGATGTGCTGCAGCTGCGGAGGCAAATTCTTCCTTTTCTGGGGTCCAGTCATTTACTGCCTGTGGGGCGCTTGCTGAAAAGGGAAGCTGGATGGGTTTGGGAAGCCATGCCAAGGCTCACATAGGTCGCTTTTACCACAGACGTGACCAACATTTTCAGAAGGCGATGGCTGAAAGCAAGGGCACACCTGATCTTTCAATATGCGGGCAGCAGCCCGCACTTAGACCGCAGACCGCTGCACCGAGCTTTGCGAGTCGGAAGCGGCCGTCACGTGCGACTTCCGACTTCCGACAGAACCAAAGGCGCAGGAAGGTGCCAGGCCTAAGTCGTTGCGAGCGCTGGATAGATTTTGTGTTAACCAGAGGATGAGCAGATACCTGGCTTCGGCATTTTCTCGAGGGAATGATTTACTTTTGGACAGGTCATCCGAGTCCGACAGTTTCATTCCCAAGCGATTGGGATTGGAGCATGGGTCTAAGGGCCTAATTAGCTATAGAATGGGGTTGGGAGGCACTATGTATGGAAATGGGCAGGTGGCCCCGAGGGCAGAGTTGCCCATCAAAAGTGCAAGGAAAAGCAAAATCACAGTTCTGAGCATGACGGTAGGAATGTGTAAACAAGTACGCATGAGATCATGTCTGTTAAACTCGACATCGCGTTCGCTTGCGACGGCTCCCGGCGAAAAGGTACAGCCAATGGAATCTCTCCGAGTTGGTGCGACTTGTGCCGACGGCTGTGGTCAGAGTCGTTACCTCGAAGAGCTGGGACTCAGAAGGCTTGAGTGTTCGTTTTGGTGTGACCGACCCGCCCCCTAGACATTTTTGAAACAAATGCCTTGTCTAAACCAACAAAATGTTGGACTTTTTGCTTAGGGGTGAAGGGCAAACCCAGTTTGGTTGGGACCTTGAAGCTAAAACTTTTGGGGGAAGTGCAAATTCTTTCACCTCACAAAGCGCTAATTGTTTTGGGCAAGGGACATAATCAGCACAGAAGGCAGGGGTAACGAGGGGGTCGTTTGTTCAATTACTGGTCCCATGGCAGACCTTGCCTTGAGGAAGGAGCCCCCCAACTTCAGTTCATTTGAATGGCATGCAGTTTGTCACCAAAAGCGGGGCGACATCTTGATCAGTCCCAAGGGACAAGTACCCTCAATCGGTGGAATGGTTGCGATTGCTTTGAGTTGAAGCCAAAAGAGAGGTGCCCTACATCCAAGCCAAAGGGGCAGCTGATTTGGTCAAGCTTAGCCATGATGAAAATCCTGTACTGAGAATGTCCTGTACTTTGCTTTGATGTGTCAAGCTTCTTGGTTTGTTAGGGTTCCTGATTTGTTATGGGCTTGCTTGGTAGGGATCTAGTTTGCTCAGATCGTTGCCTCTTTCCGGAGGGGCGAAACATGGCCACCAGCCCGCGGCGGTCAGTTCCAGGCTCCTAGGCAGCCAAGTTCCGCACCGAGAGCTCTGGAAACACGTTGTTTTTTATCAATGGCCGCACCTTCCGACGCGACAGACGCGACAGAAGGGTGGGGCAAATGGCAAATAGGAATTTGAGTAGAGTGAAAGCGTTGAAGTTGCAAAATGCTTGGATCATTGCTGCTCTACACGGTCTGGTTGAAGCTGTGTTCATGACCGTATTTGCAAATTCTGGGCTGCGTGCATGACTCCACGACATGTTCTCCAACGCATGGCTCAAGATTGCTTCACTTGGGTTCGACTTGGCTTCAGGACAGGCGGCAATGCAGATGGGCAAGGGCGCCTCATCGGAAGTTCCTGGAGACCATCCGAGCCTCAGGCCTCCACAAACGGCACGCGATGCAAATCGAATCTTAGAGCGTCCACTTTGCTGTCTCAGCACTAACCCTGGATTGGCGTTCAAAACCCTGGGCCAGGCCAACCTCTTGTTGTCCTTGTTTCTGTTTCAACAGCTATTGTGCTTGAACAGTTGATTCGAGTGAACTAGGACATCTAGCTCCCCATCCTTAATTTGAGGGGATGAACATAAATCAAGCCGATGTTCCCTGCAGGAAGAGAGTAAATCTACGGCTTGTAGTTTCCCCTTTGAAGCAAACTGACTGATTCTGGGCTATTTAGCCCCCTGAAATGCGCTCAGTCCATCGCTCGGACAGCTGCTGGTTCGCTAAATGTGAACTAGAATCCAAACATGCCATTGAAAAAAGACTGGGGTAGATTTCAATAAAGCAATTACACACATGGTAAGTTGGCTATGTCCAAAGCGCCAGCCAACAGAACTCAAGCACAACAGCATGCTACCCAGTTTCCGTGGTCACCTCTGTTGAGTAGCTACAGCTCTCATGCATGCCTGCCGCAGATTGCCAGCAAACTCGCCTGAAGCGAGTTCCCCTCCCTTCTGTCGCCGACTTGCCCCCGTTTCAGCGCGAAAAGAGCTGAGGCTACAGATCACTTATTTGACTTATTTGTTGCCGTGCATGCCAAAGGACGCCAACAAGAGGTGGTTTTTGGTTCCAGACCCGACATGTAGTGATTGGAAGCACAAGCGCTCAGCTCCAACGGTCCCAAGCGGACAGGCCGCTCAGTCTGGGTGAGTGCAGGGTTCGGAGCCATGTTTGGTTCGAGGCGTACTGCTTCTGGTTGTGAGGTGGTAATGAAATGAATGAAGTAAAGTGTGCGTTGATCCGGGAACATAACCCAAGGACCCCCTTCAGATTGACAGGTAATGATGAAATGAAAGTCGAATTCCTATGAATCACATTCATTTGGTGGGTCATGCTAATCGGAATCCCCCAAATGTTTGTTCATTCCTCCACGGCAGGTTCAACAAGCCTGATCAGTCCGAAAAGTATTTGCATCCCCGATCCCCCTCAGTTTTACCCAGTTTGGTGGAGTCCATCCTTTTGCATGGGCGGTTTTCACACCAACAATGGTGAATCATTTCAACTCAAAAGGCATTCCCTATCTTGGTTGTGATGCCAAGGTGTTTGAGCTTCCGTCGCAGAAGGATGGGTGTGTCGCTTTTAGGGCGCACCCCCCCCCTTTTGGTGGGTCTTGTGGGCAAACCAAACACCCACATTAACTAGTTGGCGCTCCCCTAGGCCCTTTTAAGGTATGGGGTTTGGAGGTATGGAGGTTTATATGGAGCTTATATACAGGGCACCTATAGAGTTACAAGATTAGATTGGTGGTATAGAATCATCCAAACCCATACCTATAAAAGCCCTTGAAGGTTTCAGACAAACCCGAAAAGAGAGTACCATTGCTGCCCAGGGACTGAATGCCCTGGCGTGGCTCCTTCGTTTTGGCCACGCAACTTGTACATTTGGTGCATTGCTGGGCAAATTGTAGCAGGCTCAGCCGGCGTTAAACGAGCACCATGATGAAGGTTCTTTACTTTTGCGATTGTAGCTCACTATAGGTCATTCACTTGGGCATCCCTTTGTTCAGCTTGTTGAACCCATTGGAAAGATGCAAAGAAGGATAAGGTTCAAACCCCATGTTTCCCCAAAATCAGACCCTCCAGTCCTCCAGTTTAAAGCCTGATTTTTCCACAGGTTTCGAGTATGATGCACTGAGGTTTCGAGTAAAAGCGGAGTGGGCTTACCCCTGTACAGCGCAGTCCCCGGCCATTTGCTGGTGGAATCTGCGAGTGCTTGGAGCGTTTGAACAGTGGACCGGGGGCTTCAGACGAAGCCCTGCTTGCCTACGCAGCGACTTGCAAGGTGGGCCTCAGGTAGGAAGTGCTCGTCTCTCACAAGTCACATCTCCTCGTTTTTCACGAATCGTTTCTCCTGGTTTTTGCACTAATACCCACCCACCCACCCGCCCGCCCGCCCGCCCACCCGCCCATCCGGCAACCCATTTTTCTAACTGGGGATCTCACCAACGGAGGGTTGTAGAAAACAACTAGACGAGACTGAGGAACACAAGTGTTCTGTTCAGATATCATTGTCGGCATCATTGAACATAGGCGCAAGGCAGCCTGCAGAAGGCCAAGCAGGTCTTAACGCATTGCGGAGCAGACGGTCGCGCTGGTGTAAAGAATCGTTTGCCCGGTGGCGTGCTTGCAAACAAAGCCAGACGCAGCTGGCGTTGAAAGAAGGGCGGCGCTTATTGCTCAGGGATGCCTGACTGAGTTGTGGTCACTTATGTTGCTGATGTCTAACTTGCTTCACGCTGTTTCTTCCGTTGTTTGTGTTTGTTGCGTTTGCCACGCGTATCCCTTGTCAGCCGTAGTTTGCGGTCAGCTTATTTGCACTGTTAGGGCATCAGCCGTAACACTGACAGCTCTCTGTTGTTATGTTTCTCACACCTGCTTAGACAATCTGCAGGCAAGGATGTAGACATCGACAGAACATGCTTACCTCTTTTGATACGCGTCTGAGAGTTTCGGCAGGGCCACGGGGCGATTTCCTACCCGATTTGCAATTTCTAGGCTCAGAATGCGTTTTGCCCCCGCAGAATGTGCAGGGTATGCCAAGCTTGCCAAGGGGACCACCATTTTCCCTGTTGGTTTGCTTCGCATTGCTGTTTTGCTCCCTTCCAAATCCCACGGGTGCCTTTTGGCTTGGTGTGTTTCCTCCCTCGCCACTGAGCGTCGCCGCTCGTTGATCCTCTTTTGGAAGGGCATTTTGTGGTAGTTGGTCCAAAAGCCCGTCATCGACTTTCGCGTACGCCCCAAGTGTTCCCTCAGGCGTCTTCCACTTGAAATAAGCCAAGTTCCGGACACCGTCAGCGCGCGCGCGCTCCCTGGGGCAGCAAGGTAAATGTTCACTTCAGATCAATCCCGAGGAAAGTGGCAGTCGCGGGAGGGGGTCCTCTCTGAAGCAGATCACTCCATGCTCCATGAGGAGCCCCTTTGATTCATCCAAACGAAGGATTGTTGCTCGGAAGCGGACCTTGCCTTACCGGTGTAGTCATGTGTTCCCGCAACTTTTCGCGAGCTCACCTTTCAGGAGAAACATTAGGAGCCCGCGCGAAATCCCCAAGCTTGGAACAAAGTCAGCTCACGCAGGAACTGCGCCAGGCTCCTCAATGCCCTTTCCCTTTGTGTAAATCATGACCGTCACCGTGTGACACGTGGGGCCACGCCCAGGCCGGGAAGCCGCTGGGAGCCCCAAACATGTTGAAGTGGATGCCCAGTGAGGAGCTAATCCAAATATATGGCTGTGTGTAGCTGTAACATTTGGCGGATATACATCAACTACATTCATCAAAGTACATCCATTTTACTGCATGCTGCTAAATTTGCACATCTAGGCACATGCTAATCTAGTTGTAGTTGCACAGATACAAGCAAGTGCACGTTCATAAAGCCATTTCAAAGTCTGCTTGCTGATGCACGCAGATTTGCTAGAGACATGGTATCAAACATGTGGGCATGTGTACGCATGCGGCACAAGCATGTGAACTGTCTGCCACCGCAGCAAAACCACGGGCTTCCAGTGCTCGCTGCTCGGTCGCGAGGCAATGCCATGTAATGCTCCCTTCGGAGTGAACCCTTCCATTTTCCCACCTGGTTGTAGGGCAGCCTGGCTGATTGTTGCCTGACTTTTGTTCGAGCGATGCATGAAACCATGCACGGTGGAGTCCCTTGAAGTACTGCCCAAGTATGGCCTTACGAATGATCACCAAGCCTCATTGCCAGGGTTTTTCTCCTCAGGTGTGGCGGGGCAGCACAGGGTCCATGGTTTGTGCCTTGTCCCGTGTCACGAGGTTGCGCTCCACATGCAGCATTAAAGGCTGCATCGCATGATTGCAACGAAGGAGAGCCCCCACTCTCAACTTCCCAAATGCTGCAAAGAGCCGTGGGTCATTTGCCGATGGTCAACCCGAGAAGCTCTAACCATGTGAATGCCTGCCGCATTCTCCAAGTACCCCCCGTGGTCTTTTGTGTTCCCTTTCAAACCACGAGATCTGGTACCCTCAAAACCAGACACCCAGAAATTCCTCGGGGCTCGAGCTTTGCACAGACCGAGGGCCTGCCTGCGGTCTTTGCCAGCTGGGGGCTGCTAGCCATTCCTCTGCCAGGGGCTCGGTGGCAGGGACCAGTCATGGGACTTTCCAGGATAGGTTTTGCTGGTATGGAGGTTATGTGCCACGTGTGCTAGGATCATATACGCGTTACAGGATCCATACCTCCAAAACACTGGCCTGGAACTGCCCTTGACCTTCGGACTCAGATGGTCATAGGGGTTAGTAGGAAAGTAAATGAAAGAAATCCTATCTGGCCAGAAGGGTTTAGAGAGGCATCAAGTGGGGCTTAGCCACTTAGCCATCATTTGGACCAAATGTGAGGCTTGCCCGAGATGTGGATGCAGGAAAGAACTGGCGCAGTTGCATGTCACTTGTTTTGCGTGTGGTTGTTTGATAGCCGTTCAAACGGGCCAAAGGAGTGCCACCGCTTTTTGAGGCGTTCACCATTACACCAACGCACATTGGCGCTTAGATCTATTTACGTATGCGCGCGTCCCTGCAAGCCCTGTGACTGGCTCACCCAACACGAACTGACCTTATTTTTTGTTCTACTGGGCTTCTTGGGCAAGTATTCCAAAGCATGTCGTTAAGGACCCTTAAAGGGCGTAAAAGGGCCCTCATGAGGGCTAACAGCGCCGAATGGGGCCTAATGAATCGGGTCTATTCGGGGCGGCTCTCTTGTGATTCCACCATTGGGGGGCCGTTGACAAAGGGAGGACATTTGTTGCTTCCTGGCCCCTTTGGGCAAGCTGGCCCCTTTGCGCAGTGAGGCCATGTTCAATTAATGTGGATGACCTCTAGTGGAAGTTGCCAATGAATGTGTCCAAGTTGTAGGAGGGAATGCTCGGGTTTCAATCTTGCTCGCGTTTGGCGAGTAGAATGGCAGTACAGCTAAGACAGTGTTGGTTGGAAAATATTGCAGTTGTACAGTCGCACAACTGCACAACTTCTCTTTGTCGTTGGGTTTCTCCCGAATTCAAGCAAGCAAGAGGCGCCCCTTGTCGCCCTATTTCCCCCCATCCGAGACCGCAGCCTTCTTGCGCCTTTATACGCGGCTCCTGGTATCTTCTCCCAGCTTGAGGCTTCAAACTTTGCAGTTTCACAATCCCAAGGGTCCCCTGCTGAATTGCTGTGGTTATTTTGCATTGCCGGGGGCCGGGGGGTTGAGAGGCTCTTCACCCTGAGCGGGTTCTGCCACTCCTACTCCAAACTGGTGGGACCCAAGGCGCGTGACCTGCTGGGTTTTTTGGGCTCGGGGCGGGGTTTGTCAGGCTCCCGGGAGCAAACGAATACCCCTGCTCTGACAGAGCACCCGTGGGAGGGCACCTGGAAGAACAACTTCCTGAAAGGACCGGATAGTGGAGGGAGGGGATGGCCCTCCTTCATTTTACAAATCAAAGCTGCAGATGAGCAAATGGGCAAATAGAAGGACCAGTTAGAGAAGACTTCTGTCCTTGAAGGGGGCCAGTGCACTTATGGGAGGGCGACCCTGTAACTGTAAAAGTCCCACAAGAACAAGGGGACTTACAAAATGTCCCAGGCCCAGTTTGGGAACCACTAATTTTGACCGATGAATACACTGACTGATTGTTGTGCCATTGGGGCATTGAGGAATCCAATTTGTTGTGCCATTGAGGCATTCGTCCCTTTCAAATGAGGCCCCTCAACCAACCCATCAGAGGGCGTCCTTTTGTACATGGCCAAAGGGATTTGCTAAGAGTTGCGCTTCCGGAGAAGACCTTTCTTTGCCCTTCCGTAAACTGTTGACATTAAGTTGCACGCTGCTTCACGCCAACAGAAAGCACGTGGCTGTGTCTTCGATCCAAGGTTTCCTTCTTTGGGGAGCGTTTGCGAGGAAGTCGTTGAGGTTCGCACATTTGAGACACACCCGCGACGCAACAGGGGCCAAACCAGTTTTGATGCCTCATGTGCCAATTGCTTTGCAGAACATCGAGTCGCTGCCATTCATCAGAGCTTGCCAAAATGGCAAGGTTTGTCGTTGACCATGGTGGAGCAACAAGACATTATGATGAGCAGTCCGAGCAACTAGCTGTCCAGCTTGCAATTCGCGTGCTCCCATTTTGCCGCCAAGAACATGATCAAGAGCAACAGCAAGCGACATCACACATTCAACAACCAACAGGTAGCAACCAACGTTCCCGATTCAAAAGCCAAGTTTCTTTAAGGAACAGCCATCAACCAGCGGCCAACAGCCGACATTCAACAACTAAAAGACTGACAACCAACCACCAACCACCAACATCCAGCAACCAGCAACCAACATTCAACGACCATCAGCCAACCACCAACAGCCACAACCAACAGCCAACAGACATTCAGTAGTTAGCGACCAAACTGTCAACACGCAAGAACTAACAACTACCATTCAACAACAGACAACCGACAACCAACAACCGCCAACTAAGCAACTAAGCAACCAGAGCAACGACCAACATTTTGCAAACAACACCAACCATCCAAACAAGAAACAACCGAGAGCTGACAGCCATCCAACCAACCACAACGCTGACCAAAGGGGAACCTCATGGCGGTCCATCCACGCCTTGCGCGTGCCACGCGGCGGGCGCTGCCTGCGGCGGTGGGCTTGGGGGCGCTGTGGGCGGCAGATGCGCCTTACGGAAAACGGTTGTCCGTTTGAATGTCATTTGAAGTTGGATCTTTAGCTCTTCGCTGTTCGGGATTATGATCGTTGCCCCAAAACCTGCAAGCAGTTATATTAGCTGTTTGGGCAGGGGACAATTGCCATCATGGCTTCCATGAACCACGTTTGCTCCGAGCCGTTTCTCAACGATGACCTCAACATCCGCGGGTAATGTTGGACCTTGTTTACTAGGGATTTGGCGGGGGGCTTGGGTGACTTGAGTATTGCTTTGGTATTGCCACTATATACTTGGTTGATTATTGCGAGCACTTCCTGTTGGGTTGCCACTACTTGGTTTAGTATTGCCAGCACTTCCTTTTGGGCTGCCACTACTTGGTTTAGTATTGCCAGCACGTCCTTTTGGGTTGCCACCCTAAGACTGGACATTAAACATGGTACCCAAACAGTGCCCCTTAAAGAGGACCAACCCCCCTTGTGGGCAAGCCCCTTTGCAGGACTGTTTGGGGCTTGTTTTTGGATGGATTTAAGTAAATAATTTTGATGGTTGGGGCTTAGGATCAAATCAGGAATTCTCAGGTCTTGGCCTGGTCCCTTGCTAAGCTTTTAGATTTGGAGCCCCTTTTAAAGCAAGAGGCTAAGATATGACCTGGAGATTCCTAACCCACCCACGCTTAAGACTGGACATTAAACATGGTACCCAAACAGTGCCCCTTAAAGAGGATCAGGCCCCCTTGTGGGCAACCCCCTTTGCAGGACTGTTTGGGGCTTGTTTTTGGATGGATTTAAGTAAAGACTTTTGATGGTTGGGGCTTAGGATCAAATCAGGAATTCAGAGGCTCAGGTCTTGGCCTGGTCCGTGGCTAAGCTTTTAGATTTTGAAGCCCACAGCGTCTCAGGTTGAGCAACCAAAGGTTTGCAGAGTTGCACTACTGGGACTGAGCCAGGAAGCTGGGAGGAGAAATCAGTTGCCCATATTGCGAACTTTGAGTCATATTTTTTTCAACGGGGTTTTTTGGGGTTCGAACTTGACATAAATCATGGTACCGAAGCAGTGGCGGGGGTCGTGTTTAAGCCGGGGAAACTTGACATAATTCAGACTACCGATATTAAACCAGGTGCAACATTAGATGTGAAACGACTTGATTCGCCGTCATTAGTAGAACGCCCGGTGGCATGGTTTTGCCTCAGCCGGCCTGAGTGGGCAACTTTGGTGGATCTTTGCCCAGCTGAAAAGGCCATCGAGACAAGAAAGCTTAACACGCCAATATGCAATTTTGGGAATCGATTTTTCAGATGGCAGGAAGATGCAGGAGGTAGCTGCTTTCGCTTGATGCAAAAGCTTCAGGAGCAAATCCAGTCCGGATGGCAAAGGCTTTCACCATCATTTCCCTTTTGAATCAACCAACAACAAAAGTTTGCTCTTTCTGCGCGGAAATCCGCTGGGCTTCCAAGTCCAGGTTCCAAAAGGCTCAAGGACCCCTGCCTCTGCCCATCGCGGAAGCCGCGCTCGGAGCCAAGGAGTACTGCTGGCATCAGGTGCTGCAACGCTCGGCGCGAACAGTGCACACAGGGCTCTACCTGCTGTGGCAGCAGCTCCGGCAATGTTTGTCAGACCTCATATTGGCTCTAAACAGCCCAGAGTGCGTCATTTCACAAGGGTGGTTTCTGAAAAACATGTTTCTGGAAAAGACTATTTGGCAGCCAAAGCGAGACCCCCACCTTGCTTAGAACATATTGTTCTTCAACGAAGAACCATTGATGTCCTTGGTTGTATAAACACACTTGCCCAACCCTGAACCCTCACCAAGGGAAACAGTTTGGTTGCGGGCCCTTCCCCTATATCTCCCGATGTGAGCAGCAGGAAAAACAGAATGCTGTTCCAAGGCAAACTCTAGCAAACCAGAAGGGGATGGGACATTCTATGGCTTAATATAGGCATGTTTTGGAAAGCAAGCTATCACCCACCTGAAAACTACATCATCCCACGTCCAAACTGTTTTGTCTGGCGGAGAATAGCTAATCTGATGTTCTTCCCCCTCAAGGAAACCAACAAAGGGAGAAATGTTTTTTTGTTCCTGACCCTCTATTGTGTAGTCATCCCCTCCCGCACAAACGCGGTTGTGGCATCTGCTTTAACCCTCCTGACTGGCACGTCCCAGGTACAAGGTGAACTGGACCCCCGAGACTTGCGACGAAGTCCACGGCCGCGTGGCCAAACGCTTGGTGGCCTGCCTGCGCACCAACGAGGGCCTCTACGTGAAATTCGGGCAGGCCATGTCCACCATGGAGCCTTGGTGGTGAGTTTGCAGCGTAATTAGGTTCTTTATAATCCTCGTTCTAAGGCGCTTGCGACAGTTTTTTTTCTTCGTATTTTTAGAATAAAGCTTCTGATGACGCTCTTCAAAAGCTCCTTATTTATTTACGTAAAGTGGGATCGGCCAAGCCCCACTTCAGTCTCACAACACCCAAGCTTTCATCATGACAAGGACGTCATCCTGCCAGATGAGTACAAGGAAGAGCTCAAGACCCTTCACGATCAGGCCGCCACCTTCGACTTCCCTCAGGCCGATTCAAGGGCCGAGCCGGCAGGAACAAGAAGGTACCCGACAAGGGCAAGCCACCCATTTTGAGGCTTGACAAGCCCTTATGGATTGCAGATGTTTGCTCTTTGCTCTTCGGTCAGGCAGCCGTAGAGTTCCTCACTCATGGTCTGTCTTGTTCGTATAACCCCCCTTCTAGGGTAAATTTTGTTTAGCTGACTTTGCAATTCACCTTATTAGACGTATTCGTCCTTTTCTGCCTAAATCGATTTGTTGAATGCCTCCGACTAAGCCGCAACTCACCAGAGGGTCCTGGAAATGGGGCGTCGACTTGGCCGTCGGCACGTCGTCCGCGTTTCGGCCAGGTGCGGCGTGTGGTGGAGGCGGAGTTGGGCCGTCCACTGGAGGAGGTCTTCAGCGACTTCGAGGAGCAGCCCGTGGCCTCGGCCAGCGCCGCGGAGAGAAGCCGAAGGGGCTGGAAGTGGAGATGAGGGCCTACTATTGGAGGGATTGCAGACAAATGGCCCTGTGTTTGCGCTTTTGTTTGCTTAGGTGAAGACATTTCTTGAATCCAGGAGACGTTGGATGCGACACATTGCCTCCCTCGTTGAGGCAACTCTTGAAGGCAGATCTACAGCTCTTGAAACAACGTCCTACATCAAGAGCTGGCTCCCCATTCCTTTGAACCATTTTTCTTATGTAAAACCCATCGACTCGCCTGCGTGTTTGGGTGGTTTTCAAGAAACAAGAGCCCCCGAAAGAATGGGGAAGCTACCCTTGCAGGAATTCAAAAAAAACACAAAACCCGCATCGGCCTGCGAGGTATTGCCCAGGTCCACCGCGCCACTCTGCATGAGGCGGGGCAGGCGATCCCTGTGGCGGTGAAAGTGCAGAGCCTCGATGGCACTTGGAGGGGTATTCTTTTAGGATAGTATTGTTTTCGCTTTTGGCTTCGGCTTTTCATTTGCCAGTAGATCTTGTGTTTCCCGAAAGGAACTAGGGTGAACGTGTTTGACACGGCTTTGAATGTTTGACCCACAGGGCAAACACAAGGGGAGACGTGATGGTACCTATTCGGCACCCAGTGTTGGCTCCTGGGTTGATAAACCTGGATAGGGGAAGTTAGGCTCCACTCTGAACCAGGACACCGAGTATGCATCAACCGGTCAACTAGATCGTAGCTTGATATGGGCGTCCCATTTGTTTGGGTACCTGTTTTGCGGTTTTAAGTGAATCAAGGAAGCTACGCCTGGCAGAACCTGCGCTGTTCCCGGATTGCGATTTCGGTTGAAGATGAGCCGAGGAAGCCCAACATCCCGGCGCAGAACGGCTGGGACCTGACGCTTTACAAAGTGGTCCTGCTTGTCATGGAGCAGGCCTTTGACCTACCCATGGCCGGCCGGCCCAAATGGAGCGAGCGGGCCGACTGGGAAATGGGAAAGGTGGCAGGCTCCTTCCTCTCCCCCCCCCTCCTCCCCCATCACCCTTTTGTTTGTGTGCCAGATGCAAAGGCCTTGGGTCACCAAGGGAGTCCCATTTGTAGTCACTTCCCGTTTATGGCCTGGGCAAAAGGTGTACCCTTGATTTGATTTATTATTCTGGACGCTGTCACAGTTAGGGTGTATTTTCAGACCATTTTGGAGGAGTCCCCCCCCACCCCTCGCAATAAGCCTCAAGCAAAGCCTCTTCGATGCCACTACGTGAGGAGATCCCAGTTGAGGGGAGGGGCAAGGTGCAAGAGAGAACTTGATTGGCAACTTTAAGGGGTAGAGTGTGCATTTGAGTTGCGCAAAGTCAAAGTCCATCCGAAAGGAGGTCTTCTTATTTTCGGACACACCCAAGTCTCAATGAACATGGATGTTACAACGCGCGAGACCGTGGGCGCGTTGGTTCGTCGCCCGTCGTCGAAGAACACAGGGGTGAATACAGTCTTGCAGTACTCGGTTTGCTGTGTTTATGCCAGTGGCTAGAAGCACAACAGCATAAAAGCCGCTCTCTGTATGTGTATGTGTGTGTGCGCGTGTCTGTGTGCGTGTGTGTCTGCGTGTCTGTGTTTGTCTGTGTGTGTCTGTGTCAAGGCACAATCAGTAACCAGTTGGTTTCCTTTGAAAACACTGCCGTGAGTTAGAAAGTTCCCGCAATTCATGCCATCCAACAGCAAGCAAGACCAAAGCAACAGACACCAATGGAGCGATACTATTCTCAATCTTGAAATGTGTTGTTTTGCTTGGTTTTGTGGGCGGTCCTTTTCAGTGCCTGCATTGGAGCACCGGCAGGCCAAATATTTTCTATCATGCCCTAAACAGCAAACAACGACTCTGGGGGACCAGCCGTCCTGCCTGCGTGCAACTAACCGGTGATTTGAACATGGCGCCTGTGAGGGATCGCCGACCTACCCCAGGGCAGGTTCCCTTGCTAGACCCTTCGTGTAACCATTGTGCATTGAGAATCATGGCGCACAGGCCTATGCATGGATCATCATGTATATTGTATGGTACATGTAGGCATGCCTACGCACATTCATACTTAGCATGCATCAGGGCTATCTTGGTTGGTGGTTGGGACTCTCATATCAAACTATGCCAGCTCAATGTTCCCTTCGCCAGGTTTATATTACCGTGATTTTGGATTCCTTCCTGGCCGCTTTCGTGAATTACAGTTTCTTGTCCAGATACGGAAGAAAAACCAAGCCAACTTTTGCGCATTTTCCCTTGACAGGTGACCGGCTCGCTCAGGTGTGGACCTATGACTACACCCGGCAGCAGCTGGAAGACGAGCTGGACTTCCGAGTGGAGGCGATGCATTGCGCAAAGGCCCAGGCGGAGTTGGCGCCCCAGCGCAGAAGAGGGAATTGCTTGACCTCTGTTTAAGCCATTGGGGCGTGTGGAGAAGTAGGGGACCGCCAAAATGGTGGATTTCCGGTTGGTGTTCCCTGGGCAGCCACCGCAAGAAGGATACCCTCAAAACGCACACCCATTTGGTTGGATCAAGGCAACCATATGTTTGTTGGGAACGTGTGTTTTCCCAGCAGCCAGCAAGAAGTCGATTTGTTCAGGCAAGGGGCATCATCAACCCCGGTTGGGTGGGTTTCCGGGCAGGTTTCCGAAGGCTTGGAAAAAAAAGCACCACAGTCCAATTAGTTCCCCCATGGTGACACGTGTCGTGGTTTGCCCCTTTTTCAGTGGTTTGAAGAGGACACCAAGAGCAGCGCCGAATCCCTCCCCAATTTGAGGTAAGCTAACGAAATGGCCACCCCGTGCCTGCGTCCGTGCGTGCGTGCGCAGCGTGCACGCGTGCGTGCACGCTGCGTGCGCGCATGTGTTTGTTGTTTATTGTTTTCTTGCTTTTTTGGGGTGTGTGTATGTTTGTGTTTGTGTTTGTGTTTGTGTTTGTGTGTTGTGTTTTATTTATTTTTTGTGTGTGTGTGTGTCTGTGTCTGCGTCTGTGTTTGTGTCTGTGTCTGTGTGTGTGTCTGTGTGTGTGTGTGTGTCTGTGTCTGTGTCTGTGTGTGTGTGTTTGTGTGTGTGTGTGTCTGTGTGTGTGTGTGTGTTTGTTTGTTTGTTTGTTTGTTTGTTTGTTTGTTTGTGTGTGTGTTTCTGTACTTGTTTGTTTCTGTGTTTCTGTGTGTCTTTGTTTATGTGTTTGTGTGTTCGTGTGTTAGTGGGTTCGTTTGTTTGTGTGTTTGTGTGTTTGTGTGTTGGTGTGTGTTTGTGTGTTTGTGTGGTTTGTGTGTTTGTGTGTTTGTGTGTTTGTTTTGTTCGTTCGTTCGCAGGTTTGTTTGTTTATTTGTTTGTTTTGTTGTTGTTGTTGTTGTTTTGTTTTTGTGTTGTTTTGTTTTGCTTGTGTGTGTGTGTAAAAGTGCCGTGTGTCGATTTGACAGATGGTGACAGCTTGGGTTTTGGCGTTACTTTCTGCGATGTCAAGTAAGACAGCCTTGCAAGTTGTAACGTCTAATGTGGCTTTACGAGGTACTTGGAGCAAGCGAGATGTGTTGCCTGAATCAGGTGAGCGCACCCTTTGTGGCGGCATGGCCCAGTTCTTAGTTTGAAGTGGCCCCAAACAGGAGGAAATGTATAACGAATATTATATATCACATCATTGATTGTGTTATTCATACCCCGTCATTTGTGGTTAGGCATTGCAAGTTGCACTGCTTTCAGCTTTTTGGTAGGGCAATGCACAAGGTCCATAACAAGCTTACGGTTAGGTTAATGGCTTTCGCTCATGGTTGGCAACACGTTGCTTGAAGGGGGGGGGGTGACATTGTAGCTGCCTGCCTTTGTCGCGTTGAGAGATGCGCAGCCCAGGACGCTTCCCGCTTCAAGGGGAAAGTGGTTGTGCCCAAAGTGAGGGAGTTGCTCGGCCGCAGTTTTGGAAACAAAGCAACAGGATGGGCGGCAACCAAGCCCTGATAATCCACCATGTTGGCGGGGTCGGCAGGAGCAGACATGTTTGCCTGCTAGTTTGTTTCCGTCTTTGTGCCGTGAACCAAATACAAACACATTTTCATGCGGCTTCCCAAAGGCCACCTGCCCCTCCCATGAGAGGTTGCCCTGCTTTTCTTGGGGCACTTCCAGGCTCCAGCCCAAAGTGTGGCTCTTGTGGATTCTAATGGCTTGGCTTTGGCAAACCCGTCCAAGAGTCCAACCCCCTCAAACCGCAACAAAACAAAGCCGAAGCCTGGCCACTGAGCAACTCAGGATCGCATTTGTTGCATAGCATCTTTCTTTGCAGGTCATATCAAGCATCCCTGATTGCCTTGCACATAGATTCACCTTGCCATGCATTGTGTCTTTTTCTAGATTGGAAAGGATCCATGGCCAGGGTCACTTGCAAGGATTCGATTCACCCTTTAAAAGTTCAAAATACGGAAGGTAAACGCTCTGACCTCCCAACCCGGAGCGGCTCAGATCTCAATATTTCCCAACTTTGGCGGGCTCTTCGAAGGCGGTTCATCGCAAAGGGAATGCAAAGCACATCGGGTCTGTGTTCCCGTTGCTTCTACTTGCAGTCGAGGTGTGTCGCGAGTCTACCGTGCCTTTGCTATGAAGGGCACTTTATCACAAGGCCGGTTTTGTTCAGACCAAGGGGATAAACCCTCGCTTTTGTGATGCTAGAATACCCTCTTTACCATTGGGGCCGCAAAGTGTTTCCCAGTCGTGTCAAGGCAGTGGCTGCAGTTTCCCTCCTCCTCATCGTCATCGTCATCGTCATCATCATTACAACAACATCAATCATCACCACAACCGTCCACTAATACTAATTACTTGTTCCCAACAACAAAAGCATAGTACCCCCTAACCGCTCAAAGGGGCCTCCCCCGGGTCCCTTTCAAATTCTACACCTGTGCTAGACCTTTCCACGTCCCTGCCCCAACAAACAGATGCCTAACAAGACCTTCTAAACCATTTTTAGTTGCGTTTGTGTTTGTGCTTCCTGTTTTGCCTTTTTTGTGCGGGGTTTGTCCGGCTTGCTCCCCTGCAAATTGATTCGGAACCCCAAATGGGGTCCGCTTCCTAACAAGAGATGCTATTAATTAGGATAGTCCTTGAAACTGAGGGTTTTGGGTTCCATATAAATTGGGCGGGTATATGCCTTTACCCTTATACAACCCACAGAGGTTGGTGCTGGTGCCTGCTTAGCTCTAGTTCTCCATATGTCCCAGAATGTTTCCGAAACTAATCGGGACACCTTGAGAACCAAAAGGGTCAAGGTTCCCTCTATTTCGACTCAAAGCATCAACCCTACCAAGGGAACCTTGCCTTAAATGGGTCAAATAGGTGCTGTGGGGCACCGGTCGCTTGGGGGGGGGGGGGACATCCCCGCCACATGGAACCCAACAAATTCCACCCCCAGTGGAGATTCATGGCGAAAAAAGGGGTCTTCTTTTGCGGCTTGTTGTTAGAGGGAAACAACCTCAATCCAAGAAAAGCTGGCATGGAACCGACTCATTCAAAAACCAAGCCCTTCTGACTCTTTGGGGTCCAGCATGAAAAAAAAGCCAAGCATTTGGAGGTGCCCTTTGACCAACCCAGACCCAGGCAGGTCTCGGGTCAGCGGGTGCTGGTCATGGACTGGGTGGACTCGGTGGGCGCGGTCAGCGACAAGGCGCAGCTCTTGCGTCACCATCTCCCCGCGGAGGAGGTGATGCGCACGGCCACGGAGGCCACGGTTCCGGCGACGGTTCCGGCGATGCAGACCTGCGGGGGGCTTGGTCTTTTTGGTCTCTAGGCTTGGATTTTTAGTGGAATTGAGATGTTTTTGTTCCTCACCAAGGGCTAGATGGTTAAATTTTTGGCACAGGGATAGGATAGCCATACAGTGGAGTGGGGAAACGAGAACCCTTTGAATGGAGAATCCCTTTGGAGTTTGTTTGGAGTCGAGTCGTCACGTTCTTGGAACAGATGTTTCTCCGCGAGCCGGCAACAAGCTGAAGGTTTGGCGACGGCAACGGCCACACATATGCCGACATGCGCGTTAGAGCGGATATATTCCGTTCATTGTTCTCGAGTGAAGGATGCCCCCAACCAATCCAAACCACCAATATCAGTGTAAGCTGACGGGTTGGTGCTGCAAACGTCACAAATGTGGGCCAATACGTCACAAATGTGGGCCAATATTGGTTGAGTCCCTCCTTTGCATTTTTTGAAAAAATCCTTCACCCCCTGCAGATTAACACGGAACCTAAAAAGCGATGATTTCTAGCTTCCACGTGCAATATTTGAGACCCCTTTTGACATGACATTGTCTGCCAGAATCAAGTTGCTTTACTTTGGGTCCATTTGAACCAACCCGAAAAACATGCACCGAGCCTCCAAATATAAACCAACACCCTCCTAGGAAACCAATCTTAAAGTGACAAATGATCTTGGGGTTGCAAAATTGCGTCTTTTATTGTTTTGTGTGGGGGGGTCAGGAAGCAAAACCTTCCGGCAGGTCTTCGGATACCAAATCTTCAGTACCGGGCACGTGCACTGCGACCCCCACCCCGGGAATCTGCTGGTGAAGCTGTGCCCGCCCGGCTCCCCGCGCAGGCGAGCCGGGGACTTTTGAGCGTAACGGCTCCTGACTCGTTTTGTTTTTGTTTTTTTGTTTGTGTCGGATTAACCTTAAGCAGTTGTTTGGCGGCTCTGTGTACTTCTTCCAAGTAGGGCGCTCCAGCTATCAAGTAATGATCTATAGTGATTCGCTCTACAGGCTTACGAAGCACTCATAATGTGTTGGTTTTATTCCACATAGCGACGCTTGCACAAGTGCGGTGGGCACGCTGGGTGACCTGTTTTTGAGGAGGAACATTAATGCATACACCATTGTGAGAAGACAGTATTGCCGGGTGTCTGCAAATGTTTGGCAGCATGGGTGTGGGCAACTGGCTGCTGCCTGGCGGTTTTGGTCTTTCCTACCTGACCGGTTTGCCTACTTAAGCCATAATTAACAGCCAGAGCATGAGCCAGGTTAGTTCTGTGCACATCAAGGTTCATACGTTCAACCTTTTCCTTTAACAGGTAAGTCTGTCAACAAAAGCAAGCAACTAATGGAAAAAGCAAAGCACACTAGGAACTCTAAGAGCGACCCAGTACCAGGTTAGGGTTGGGAGCACCCTCAAGATGTTCGTGGGGTGTTCACCTCGGGCACCCCGAAGCAACACAAGGATTGCCTCGACGCAAGGGGTATTAGGAACCTCCCCCCCCCCCGCCACACGAGGGTGGGGGGCTGCCCAACAACGGCGGAAGAATCTCTTGAAATGTTGAGCCACTGATTAACTGAGTTAATCAGTCGCACGCAGCGAGCTCCGTGCACTTTTGTCCAGTCATTTTCCCCGGCACTTCCCTTTTGAGTTGGCATTGGCTTACCTTTTTGTTGGTAGGTGCCTTCATGTCAGTCAAAGCCTAAACAGTTTAAGCTTTGTCGGGCCCTGTAAAGTCAGCCCGGGCTGAGCGATGCAAAAAACAGAAACTTGTTTTTGCGTTGTCATCCACGCAAACAGTCGCGATTGTTTGCTGTTCTTTGCTTTAGCGTGTCTAAAAGTACTCGCCTTTGTACACAGCGCAGCTTCACTTCGCCAATTTAGTGACATTCACGGACAAGGTTTACGATGAGTTGAGTAGGCAACCATAAGCTTGGACTTGCTTCACCCAAGCTGTTCATGACGGTAGCACGCTCGCACTCGCAAAACGCTCACACTGGCAAAGGATAACACATCAAACCTCAGAAATGATATTACACAGCTGAAAATCATGGTTGCTGAAATGTGTGATGCTGGTATTCGATTTGTTGTTGGTTCTTCCGAGTTGTTGGTGCCTTTTTGTTTGTGTTTCTTATTTTTGTCGCTCGGCGTCGCGGAGAGTGCCATTGTGTTGCTTTCGACAATGCTTGCATCCTTGCTTTCCGTCTCTCGGAGCCTTGTTACGCAGCGGTCAGATGGTCCGAGTGAAATTATCGCTTACTTTGCTTCTTTCAGTTTATCTTTGTCCGTTTTCATGACCACTCTCTGGGCAAAGCAAGGGCAAACTGAAGAATGTTTTCACTGTAGGACTGTAGTCTCTGCTTTTCACTTTGGGCAGGGAACTGGCTGGGAATTTGAGCAATGTGCCTGACTGGCAAGCAGAGCTTCACTAGTCACTAGCGGCAGCTGTCAGTGGCGAGTTTGCACAAAGCTACGGGCCCTTTTGTATAATATGGGGACTAGATAATCGTTGCACGTTTTTCATATGATTATCTGGATCAAACAGATTTGGCAGCACCCGTCAACAGTCCAACTTTAATTAGCAGCTCTTATAGCACTCGGCTGCCAAGTGTTGCGCCTGGTTGCTTCCCGTATTTGACCCCTCGATAGAATTCGGATGATGCCCTGCGTTTGAGTCGCTCGGTAGTAGCGCATCAACCAGTCAACCATTTGGTTGCAGGGGCCAAGGCCTTCAAGGCTTCGAAGGATTACCCTTTGATTACTGAGGCCTTGTATTGCAAGGGGGGTCTGTCTGATTCAATCGACTGAATGTGCCAACCCATTTGAGTTCCCAAAAATGCTCGATCTTGATAAGGCAACAGCCAAGCTGCCCAAACAGGCAGTTGGCCAGGCCATGGGTTCTTACGCATGTGCGCACGCAAGCACACGCATGTGTATATACATATATGTATTAGTATATATATATATATAATCACATATATATATACACGTGTATGTGTGTGCTCATGTATACATATACATATGTATGCAAATACGCATGCATGCAGACATACATATCTATGTATGTGTTTAAGTATTTTTGTGTGTATCGCATGCACATATTTGTATTATATATTTGGCATTGATTTAAGCATGTATTTGCATATGTGTCCATAGCTACGTGCATGTAAAATATATACACATAGTGCACACATATATGTATGTACAAATTGATATACTGTATATGTATGTATACAACTATGTACATAAATAAATAAATATATATATATATATATTACAGACATATATATATGTCAACTATTTGACTTGGTCCACGCAATCAGCCTTTTGCTTGTTGTCGTTGTGTCATGGGCAGGTGGCAGCTGGTACTTCTGGACCATGGCCTCTACTGCGAATTGAGCCCCAAGCTCCGCCCCTTGCCGGCATCGATCCGGAGTGCGGTCAACTTACTTCTCAAGCTCTTGGACTCAAAATCAGGGGTACCTGTTTTTAGCTTTGGGTGGCTTTAAACTTTAGACATCACCTTTGACTGTGACTAGGAGTTGCCAAAGGGAACCATGCCCAAACAACAGCTTGCTTGGCTGATTTGCGAGGGATCCCGCCCAAACGTTTGTTTAGTGTTGATTGATATGCAAGTGAACTTGGCCAACCCATCTTGGCAACTGTGGTTGGTATTGGTCCGGTACTTCCAGAACTGACCAAGCAGAATTATGCTCCATATTCATGCGTGATCGTGACAGCTAGACGTGCCTTAGGACTCACAGCCATAGGTGTCTTTCCTCGTCACCTTGAGCGGATGGTCGAGAGGGCAATGGCCATGACTGGCTGGGCCAAAAACCAGCCTTTCAATTTCTGGGGACAGTGTTGACCCCATTACTATTCTGAGCTGGCGAGTTTCTTTGGGAGGGGTGATGTTGTGAGGAGTGATTTGGACCCCTCAGGTCTGTTGGCAATTTGTTTGCTCAAGGGAAGACGCGCTCAATTTTCAGCTCGAACCCACCTTGCAACAGATTGCAAAGCGTCACATGGATAGCCTGAAAAGAAGCCCAGTTCCAAAAGGAGATCCCGCAGACGATCACATTTCATTGTTGCATCCATTGCGTAATTTTCATGCTGCCACCCCCCAAAGGTAAATTGCTGAGACACCCCAGTTGCCACTTGTTTCCTTTTTTTTGGGAAGGGATTTCCTGTGAAGCCAAAAACAACGAACAAACCAAAAAGGACCGCCAACAAAGCATGGGGAAGACTTGGCAACCAACAAAAACCCAGTTGTCCAGTGACTCCCTCCAAATCCCATTTTGTTTGGTAGCTTCCTTAAAATTAAAGCAAGACATGATCCCCTTTTTTGAAACCAGGGTCGCTGGTTGCTGGGCAAAGCCGGGTGCCAAGTGCCAAAGATCCGTTTTTGCCCCAGACCCGTGGGGTCTAGGTAGGGAGTATGCGGACTTCTGGGTGGCCGCAGCCCTGGGGGACACGGAGGCCACCGTGGAGATCTGCCGTGGCTGGGGCATCAAGGATCAGGAGAGATGGGATGTGTCAACCGAAACACATGGCCATGAGTCAAAGCCCAAATCGTACCCCCAGTGAATCTCCCAACCCCCGCTAAAATAGGTTCTAAAATGGGTGGTGCAGCGAGCTCACAGATTCAGGAAAAAGAGGAGCTCACCCATGATGCAGGTCATTTACTAGGTTGTCCCTTAGCTCGGGAATTTGGATGTGAGGCAATTTTGCAAGACCTTCTATGCCCTTTTGGAAACAAATGGCTTTTCCATTAAGCCTGCAAACTGTGATCAACCTCTTGCCAAGAGGAAAAGGCAACCCAGGAGAGATGCTAGCGCTTGGATGACCTATCCTATTACCGACTAACATCGAAGCCAGAGTGGCTCTCCCCTCCAGATTTGTGTTTTAGGGTCGAATGATCCGAACCAGAATCTGAACACATTGGTTGCCGTGCAAAGCTGAGTTGGCCAAGACCCATCCCCTTTTCGAGGAACATGGTCCAAACCAGCGCGACTTAGGTTCCACGTGGGTGGGTTGGCACGTGCCGTTTGATGCACAAGTAGGGTGAGTCCTTAGGTTTGGGGGCTTGATGTAAGCACCAATAGGTATGCTGTGTGGGTTCCGAACGGGATTTGGCCCTTGGCAGCCGTTTCCCAATCAGGATGGCAAATCGGATTTGCCAAGCCAGCTTGTTGAAATCCCAGTTTGGCCGCCTACGTGATACAACTCTTCAACGCTACATTTGACTTTGAACAGTCTTTGTCAAAGGTCATCCAAACCACGGCGGAGACAGCGCCAGGTCCATAAGGAACTGAGCCTTCATGAGGGGCTGTTGTAACACCGCGCTGTCAAGCAAATCTCTGATGCCAGAAGCGTGCCTACGGAGGGGGAGGAATGGGTGAACTCCGCAGATCAACAGTTCGTCCAAAGTGGTTCGTAGAGTTTGGGCTCGGTGGAACCGCCACCGTGCGCTCCCTCCATATACTGATGCAGCTGAAGCCTCAACAAGGCCATCCCAGCCAACAGAAGCTCCAGATCCGTGGGAAAAAGCAGCAAACGATGCCCCCCAGAAGCTGATGCAGATTTGGGTGGCCCCAAGGGTCTAGATCCGTAGGCCGCATGTACCAGTCGGCGGCTATGTGCCACTGACCCCTCGAAGTCATCAACTAAATCGAAACAAGATTTGGACGATAGTCATTATGTGCACGCTGTTTCTACATACATACCCTTTGTACATTCCCTTTTGCGGTTCATCACAATTTTGGGCTTCACCCCATTTCGTAAACTAAACCCCGGTGTTTCATCACACTTCTTGGGCAATCCATTGGGTTCAACCCGTTCGCCTCACAGTGCTAAATAGGCCTTGAGGAGTTAAAATAAGCTCAGGTGATATCCCCAACAGCATGCGGTGCTCTTTTTAGTGCTCGCACCACCCCGCAGCCCTCGCAGAACCTCGTGAAACCCTCGTGGAACCCTGGTGGAACCCTCGTGGAACCTGACCTCAGGGCCGCCCCGGACCACCCCGGAGCCTATCTGGGCTGAGACCCCAAAGCTTCCAGCTGTGGGGGAAACAAGGGAAAAACACTGTTGACTTGGGCAACAAGGACACCATGTTGCTAAACCCGAGGGAGCCCCGCCCTAGCACCCAGATCCGCTTCGGGAGGACGCCGCGGAGTTCTTCGCCTCGGTGTCCCAGTTCCGGCGCGTGCGCCTGGGCCGCGGCAGGCTCCAGGCGCTGGCGGCGCTCTACGGCCAGCGCGGGCCTAAGCCTCGCAACAAGCCCGGGGAGTCACCCCCGTCGGTTGAGTGCTCCTGGGGACCGTTTTGTGGGTTGGATCAGGTGCCGATATGATTCTTACCTAAGAGTCTCCTATGTAATTACGTCTCTCTCTTCGGTTACAAACGGCGGGTGCAAACTTGTTTGAAATGGGCTTTGGCGTTTGAAGAGGCGTTGCTTTTCCACTAGCAAAGCTCCGCTACAAAGTTTCAGAACCAGGGTTTACCATTTGGCTCCCGGTTCAAACAAATGTGCCATGCTGTTTCCCAATGCGCCAGCATTCTCCCTCGGGCAATGTCCTCCAAACTGGAAATAGGGGAACCCCTCAGCATTTGCCCCTGTTGGAAAAGTGAACTCAACATGCTGTTTGCCCGCGGGCAACCATACCGCTCACAAAACGCAAGAGCACACCTAACGGGCGGAATGCGTTGTGGTGCCACGCCTGGCAAATTATTGGGCATGCTGATGTCTTTCAACAGTAGCCCATGAAATGCCTGGGACGACCCCCGCTCATTTCAATCCGGGCAAACAAAGGCACGCTTGCCTGTAGGATTCGCAAGTCAAAGCTGACCCAGATCTACGTGCTCGCCTGCAAATTTGGCTTGCTCGTGTGAAGACATGGCACATGTCCAGGGCAACAGATTCGCCTCCAACTGCCCCAACGCATTGCTTTCTGTCAATCCAGGCCGCAGCCGGCGAAGATATCGCCACTCCCATGCGTGCCACCCAACATAGTGCGCAATGGCAACTGGAAGCCTCAGTGACTCAGCACGCTTTCCAAAACAAATGGTGAGCAAAGTGTTCCACGGCGAAGGCTCCTTTCTTCACTGTGAATCTTGAGGCACTGTGACACGATCTCAGGCCACCGGGCTCCACAGACCTTGCCGCTCGGCTCGACAGGGCACGGGCCAGGGACTGGGCGAGGTTGACTTAGCAGCTGGGTGACAAGCCTGCCATGAGGCTGAGCCTTCGCATGCCAGCAGGGCATTTAAATTTAACATGTGCGTCAGATGGTATCAGGAGAATGCTCCATGTCACCCTGGAAAAGGGAGCTCCCCTTAGCCAAAGAGCAGCACGCCGTTTTTCCCAGGGCCACTGGGCAGGGGGCAAGTAGGTAGGAAAAAGTTGAGTCAAAAAGGGTTGGGCGGGGGATCTTCCGTTCACTCCATAAGCGCGAAGCGGTGTTGCTCATGTGAAAGATACGGTTTTAAGCAGCTTGTGTCAAGGAACTCCCTTTGAGGTGTCAAAGCAGTCATGGAATTGGATGGCCTGCTTTGTACCACAGGAAGGGCATATCACATTGGAGATCCCAAATTAACCAGACGGTTCTGCCGAAAGGTACGGCAGATGCCGCGGAAGAGGCCCACCGCCAAGCAGCTGGCAGAGGCACAGATGAAGCTCAAGGCGCATGGATAGGGCGCGCTGGCCTTTGTGTGGCCGAATCGCCCCTTACTGTAGACATCTGAAGGCCTTTTGGGAACGTACAAAAGGTTAGACTAGACCTTTTGCTCGGGCGGGAAGGGCAACCCAGTTCACCAATACATCTTTTCCTGGGGGGGGCAGGGGGGGGGGAGCGAAACCCAGCTCACCAATTGATGTAAATCAGGAGGATCATATAAATCAGGAGGTCCTGTTGGGTGCCTCTAAGCGGGTTCTAAAAGATGGTTTTAGGATGCTACACACATGATTGACTTTCGTTGCAAGCTGGAACCTGTTTGTGAGACCCCGTGAGAGTCCCCAAAAAAAGACACCATGCCCCTTTCTCAGGCCGCTTTGAAAGTGCATTTTGAGTTTGGTTTGGCTTGCAGGAAAAGAACTCCCAGCGGCATCGTCTTGTCATAGACCCGAAGAATGAAAACCTAAATGAGGATCTCGGAATAGTAGATTCGGTTACAGTAAAAGGCTCTTGGAGGTTGTCGGGTTCATCCTGGTGGACAGGAGGGTAGTTGCACAACATGTGGACATGAGAAATACAGGAGCTTATGTGCATCGGCCATGTTGGAGGATGTTGCCCGCTAAAAATAATAGCCAAGTGGGCAGGGGCCCGTTCCTGATCCTGGTGACGATGCTTTCTCGTAGTGTCAACACTGTTTCTCAGAAGGTGCACTTGGTTTCAGTATGCATGCAAGTACAGCAACGCAAACCATAGTAATTGGTTAAACTATAGTTTTTCAGCGTACTTTCAAAATTAGGAAATCGACGGCAGCTGTAAGAGGAAATTGTAGGCTCTACCTACGTCACTGGCAGCATGCATGGTCATAATCACCACAGGACCGCCCAGTTCTCCCGATTTCCTGCGGCGAGGGGGTCTTTTTGGCACTGTTTTTGTATGTGCTTCACTTGTTTGATTTGTTTTCTCTGTTGATTTGGAGCCGGGGGGCTTCACAGAATATCTCCTTTGCTGTTGGACAGTATTTCTACTTCTCATGTTAAACAGAAACATGTTGTGGGTCTCGGACCTACCACTAAGAATCAAGACAACAACGCTTTGCCTACTGATCAAAACAAATGTGATCACCGACTCCTTGTTTGACAGAGCGCGCAAGACGTTTCGGGCACGCGCTCTGAATTCCTTGCCAGGCTCGTGCCAAGAAGGTCTTGGGCGATACGGCCGCCTTCCCAAGAGAGTTGCCTGGCCGCAAAACAGCTTGGGACGCAGCCTGGCCCCTTAAAAGGGGAGTGGGAGTGAGTGCTCAGTGGCTGGTGGCTAAGTAGCACACATGTTTGTCCTGCAAAATAAATCGAACAGGGAATTGTTATTTGATGCTTGTTTTTTGCAGGTGCCCTATGCAACATGCATAACACGCAGGCAAGTCTAGTAAACCTACTTGCTACTTGGGAAATGTGCAGGGCTCTCTCTCTCGACACCCCCAATGAATCAGCCAGGGGTTCCTTCATCCTGCGCGTCCATTTTCCATGGCTCCCAGTTTTCATCTGGGAAACAACGGGATTCATGAAGCCAAGCGTAAGCGCGCTGTGAACACAGAGAAGCCTCGGAGAAATCCGGGCACGGAAGAATGGAGGTGTAATTTAGGTGGAGTGTCCTGCGAGAGCAGGGCACACGATCCTGCCCCCATTAACAGTGGAGTTTTGGGACGGGGGTGGCCCCTGGAATTCCATGTTCAGTTCGTGTTTGGGGTCTCCTGAAGAGCTATGTTAGATTTTAGGGATGCAGAAAATATGATTTTGGGAGTACCGAGTCCCCTGTAAGCATCTGTAAGCAAATATTTTTTGGAAGACTAAGCCCGTGGGCATGGCGCATGGGCTTGCCCTTTGGTTCTGTGTAGGAACCCTTCCTGCGACCAACTTGAATTTCCCAAACTTGCTCAAAAGGCGCTTTTTTGGTAGCCACTGCTTCTCTGCTTGACCATCAAACAGGGCGCAAAGTGGAAAGGCAACGTCGGGTCCCTGTTTGTCCCTTCGCGTCCTTCAAACCGACACCAAGATGGGCCAAAACACAACCGCCACGCCTCCAACCAACAAGCCTGGAAGTGCACAGGCCTTTAAGAAGGCGACTTCTTTGTTAAGGGGCCTATGCACTTCCATGCTTCTGGTGGGAGGGTAACTTTTCGCAAGGGATCACCGAGCGAAGAAAAGGCACCCAGACCCCCACGATCGAAGGCTCCTCTTTGTGGGCCGCAGTCTCAACATGATCCGCTCCGCCAACTTTGCCCTCGGCAGCGCGGTGAATCGCGTGGCCATCCTCGCGGAGTGCGCGGCGGAAGGCCGAAGTGGCCCCCCCCCTAAAGCAGTAGGTGATTTCTCCCAAAACGGTCAAAGGGTACGTCAAAATGATCCCAACCTGGTGTACATGTCTAAATCATTCCACCTTTGATTCACTGTCGATCAAGACTTTACTTGAATTTGAATGTGGCTTTAACATCCCCATTCTTCTTTCTACCCTCGCAAGTGGCTTCCGAAAACGGAGCGGCTGTCTCCAGATGAGGGGTTTCTCCAGACATCAGTTCCCCCAAAATGAGGGCTTGTCAAAGGAACACCCTAACATGAATCAAAACAGATGGGTTTGCTCTCTGAACCGCAACATCTAGTTAAAATTTCAGGAGAGACCCCTCCCCGCCTCAGCTCCCAAGAAAATTGAGAACCCTCCCATCGGATTCTTTTGCACCCTGCAGCAAACTTGGAGGTGGTTTGTTCCTTCATCAACAATGATCAACCATTTGGAAGTGTCCCAAGATTTGGCACACAACCAAGTGGGGCCAAGGCCTTCCATCAAGAGTTAGCCCACCATTTTGAAGCTTATATACCTTTGAGTACTTTCACTGGCTTGTGTTTGCTTAACCGGATTTGACCGGCACATTACTAGAAGACACGTTTAGCGGACATGGGGGACGAGCAGGGATGACTTCTTTTCTCTTTTCCAAGACTATGACTCTACCATCTCCCTTCGCACGTTCCAAGTTGATTAATTGCGCATGTTTCTGCCTAAGCTAGGCGCCAAATGGGTTATTACAATCTAAGAAATCTTCAAAGAAGGCTATAAGAACCCGTCTTGGGTTGTGAGGGCGGCCCAAGGTTTCCCCTACAGACCCATGGCATTCGGGTTTTCCCGCTGGCAGGTTCGAGCAACGGCGGCGCCCTTGCGTCGCGACGCTTGGCCAAGCTGAACTTCCACCTTCGCTCCTTGCCTCACATCCCCTCCCCGCCGAGAGCTGAGAGCTGATGGGCCTGTCTCAAACGGGGAACCTCTTTTGCATGGCGCTTTCCCTTTTGGTTTACGGCTTTTGCAGCGGCTATATGTTCGGTAGCAAGGAGTCAGCAATGCGACGTACATGACTTGCCAAAATGATGGCTAATGGCGGCACATGTCACCAAAAAGTGTCCAAAGATGTCTTGTTCGTGGATTCCACGCTTTTGTTTGGTGGGCTTCCCTTGAAAAGGCTCTCCAGGACGACGAAGTGAAGCTGCGCCATCGGGGTGTCTCAGTCAGACCCACTCAAAGGGCCCATGAGTTGGGCAGCAAGCCACTGGGCAGGATATTTTGACACCCCATGAACAGCTTCCACCGCATCGCGGATGTTCGCAAACAACATTGTCTTGTCTCTGCGCACCAAACAATTGAAGAGTCAGTGGCTGCTCTGGGATATGTTGCACCCAGTTTACCATAAAGGGACCGTTTACTGCATGGTTTTGCCACCATCGGCAATGTGACGAACGGCAAAATAGCACAGGGCTTGCGCGTGACAATGCGCCGCGCTGTTTTACGCCCGCCCCGCGCCAACTCTTGAGAGCCTTGCTGCATAGCTCAGCATATGTGGGTTGTCTCGAAATACGGGAAACCCCTAAACAGCATCTCTCCCTTCCTCGTGTCATCTCAGGTGTGCAGTGCTTGCTGGTGGCTGGGCGGCAACTGGAACAGATGCCCTCTTACAATAAGCCCCAGTGCCACCTTTTTCTGGCGGTAGTACCACCAGCAAGCATGGAAGCTGAAGACCTCCTGCGGATGTTGCTATGCAAAGAGGCCCATATCAGGTCGTGTCAGGTTTCTGTGGTTGGTAAACACTCCTATGATCCGAACATGGGAGCATGCGGGGCCCCGTGAAAACGGATGCCTTGTGGGGGGGTTCTGAAGTTTGCCCAAGCTTTGGGTCCATTTCCTTTGTTTCAGGCTAGCCGCCCGGAGTTTGAAGGAAATTCCAAAAGGGACACCAATCATGTTGGCATATGTTGGCCCCATCCGGGGACCAGCCCATTTTCGGGTAGCTGTGGCCTTCCCACAGGCGGTCCATCACCTCTCGCAGCTCAGCGAGTTCCTGGGATGGCGGCAGGTGCCTCGAGTCGAGACGTGTTTGGTCAGAAACGAGCTCCACGGTCTTTTGGGATGAATTATTAGTTTGTCGACTTTGCCCATGGAAGGGTGGCCCAACAAATGACCCCCCCATACATTCTCCCTAAGGGTCCAACCTCTTGTTTTGCCTGGATATTGGTTGGGTTGAGTTCCCTGGCGCCAAAACCTGAGCCCTAAAACCCAAGGCAAGGTGGACAGTTGCCGATGGGGTGCTGCTTTCAGAGAGTGCACAAATTGTATCTAGCTCTGGCAAAACAAGAGGGGGCCCCGTAAAGGTCCGCTTTCAGGGGAGGTCCCCAAAAGTGAAGGATCCCCTCTCAAAATCACACAACCACAATTAAACCACAGGGCTACTCCTCAGGTTCTCTACTCAACCTGCCATCCAACCAGAAAATGCCCCAGCAGATTCCTCGACAAATGGATGGCGTTCTGGAGTCCATGCTGACCTAACTTAGACGCCTCCCATTTGTCTTCTTTTCTCTTGGTGAGCGGTCCTTTGATAGCCACCGGGCCTGGGTTACTGGGTTTCCAGGTGCTGTTTGCCATGGGCCTCGCTCCGCTGGTGCTGGCCTTGCCCTTCGCATGGGGCCAAGGCCTTCGGGGAGAGACAGGGGAGTGCCTCATGGGCCGTCAATGCCTTGCACCCGTTAGTGGAACTGAATGTTCTCTTAGACTACTGTGGACTGGGGCACCGTTATTTTCAGGTTGGGTCTAGTTGACTCAGAGAGGACCTCCCGATCAGTGAATGCATTTGTCCTAACGTGCAGCCTGGTTGAGCAACTGTCACTGTCCACCAGACGGTGACATGCGGAGCTAGAATAATTTTTCATACGGAATGGCCATGACTGGCAATACATGTTATACTACGTGTTTAAGGGGAAATGGCCATGACTGGTAAATGTATGATGATACCATTGTCTCGGTGGCACCCGTATGAAAGCAGGGGACTTCGGTGGGAGGCAAAGACCGTGGACTTTGACGGGCCCCACGCGGGTGGATCGGCGAAGGCACGTGAAACCGCAACAAGTGGCCCTCGAAAAGGAGCTGTCGCAATACCATAAGACCAACATGAAGCAAAAGCACCATTTGGAGGAGGCTAAAAGCTTGGGGGGTACCTCTGAGTTGCTATGCCCGCCCCTCCAAGGGATGTTACAACCATAGGGCCAGGCCTCACTTAGAGAGAGGTGCGCATGACAACTCGCCAGGGCAATGGCGCTTCTTTAGGGCTTGGTAGTTTCAGCTCAGGATTCCAGGGTACGGTTTGGATGCTGCTTTTGTAGATCACACTGTCTTTCTTTTTATTTTTGCGCGTTAAGAACGGTTGCCTTTGCAACAGGTATGATATGTGTTTGCCCAAGGCTGGTTCCCACTGCTTGTCCAAGTTGTTTGCTGCTCGGCTTTCTTTTTGGGCATGAATCTACGGCACATGATCCTTTATCCTAGGATGCGCGGTCCGGTAGATAATGCTGTTCTCTTTCCAGTTCGGCATGTTTTCCCATGCAGTGAATTCAGGTCATGAGCCATGTTAGCAAGAGCCATTGCGAGCGTGCGAGTGCATTTTGACTCAGGGTGAAATGCAGGCAAGTAGCCTGCAAGAAGAGTACTGAACATGCACAACTTCAGGAGGGAACTGCCAAACAAAAAGATATCCTAATATCCTAAGTGTTTTCCAGACAAAATCCCACACTGTTGCCATGGGAGAGTTGTAGCACGTCTTGGTTTCCTCTCTGGAAGGGACATGTCATCAATGGAAAGCGGTTTGGTTTGTGCAGGGGCAGACCTTTGATTCACCTTAGTCGCTCCTTTTTTGCCAACGATCAGGTTTTCTGAAGGTTTCCGGGCTGCTTAGCGCACCAAGCATTCCAATAGGGATGGTTGTGCAGTTATCGTCCGTAATGATTCCATGGAGCTTTGGCGATCCTTCGTTGAACAGTTGGCTTCCGCTACCCTATCCTTTTGATGTACGGGTTATATATCAGTTCAGCACGAGGCAGGTTAAACCAAACATTGTCATAGACCCCGTGTTTTCTTCATGGTTGGTCTTTGATGTGCCCTTAGGCCCTCGGACCTTTTGCAAACAAATCACGCTTCCATTAAGCCTGCACAAGTTGATCAACCCGGGAGGGGGGAGGTTCTGTCCGAGCGATTTTCAATCGGCAGGGGGGACCTCCCCAGTTTCATGACGTGGCAGCGCACTCTTTGCCGTGGTTACCCGATTAGACCCATTAAATTTGATTGGTCCTGAAAGGGGGCGCATGTTGTATCAACAATTTCCCGCACAAGCCCCTGGACCGGACCCCAAAAGTAAACCTATGCCATGTAAGCCCTACTTTGGGCTTGTTCATGATTAGCTATGAAGAAGTATTGGACGTAGGGAGGGCAACACCATGCTTCCTTCCCTGTGCTTATTGCAGTTCGGGGCGATTGCGCCAGGTCAATGGCCACCTTTGCAGGATGAGGCATGGCACAAAACGTGTGCGTTTTCTAGTGCGCCGAGTTGCTGGCCACGGGTGAGAGCACAAAGCCTGCAGAAGCATCAGCGATTTGGTCGATGCTGAGCGCCAACGTCGCGCGGAAACACACGCACAAACACACACATTATATTGTTTTACGTATGTGTATGTACGTATATATGTGCTTAAACTTCCCCTTGGAGGAAAGCCACCGCAGATTGCGAATTCACGAATTTCCACTCCTCTTTAGCACTCATGGATGGCATTTAGAGCCACAGGGAATCCCACAGAACAGCAACCAGGTTTAGGGTCCATTGTCCATGCAAGTCCGCAAACAGCAAACAAAAAGAACAAGGAGCGGCGGTCGTCCCTGTCTCCAGCACTCTTTTGGTTCGTTATTTTGTAGGCTCCGTTCATTCCGATTGGGTGGAAAACAGCATGCAGGGGTCAAATCGTAGTTATGGTCACCCTTGCGCAAAACTGGCTGTACTATTTCTTCAAGGGAAACCTAGATGCGTTTAGGTGTTTAAACAAGGCTGCCCCCTTTTGTTGGAAACCAGGCCCCTTGACGAGCGTTTCTACGACCAAGTTGATGCAGCCAGTCTTCCAGGCGTCCGCCCGTGGCGCTGACGCGGCGCGTTATGCTCATTTGCCAGTGTCCGGGGCGCGCTTCCCCTTGAATCCAACTACTGGCGCAGGATTTGGTCCATCCACGGTGAAAGTAGATGTCACATTTCCTCCTTTGGGGTTTAGTCATCGCCGTTTCTTGCCCAAACTACTTCCCCCATCTGGAGGTGTAACGAGCTGACCCAAGATGAAGGTCCTTGGGGATCCACTACTTGAGCTTGTGGCATTTGCAGGTCAACGAGCCTGTCACAAGGACTACAACCTTGCTGTTGCAACAATACCTTGCCGCCAGACTGAAAGGGAAACCACAATTTTGAGGGCAACGTCCCTGTGCTTGCCCAGTGTTTAGTGCGTGACCGAATTTGACCAAAGCTAATATATTCACGCATATGCTTATGCTGTACCAAGATGAGTGTGTTGAGCAGTTTATTTTTTTCGATAGGCCACAGGCTTGGTTCTGGGCTTTGAAGCCAGCAGTGGCCCTGAGTTAAAATGTTTTCTTGCCTACTGAGTTGGCGGGCTTGTATCTTGGGGTCTTTCAGCTGGAAACGCTACTAGTCAACTGATGTTTTGTCTTGCTTGGCACTATGCTTCCACCTTTGCAAGCGATTTTCGGGCGACACTGTCGGTTGAGCAGAGCACGAAGAGATTTGCCCTCCGGTAATGATTTTCGACAGAGCTCGGCAAAAGCTGGCCTGGCCCCCAGTGCAGTAGCGATTAAAAGACAGCCGTGCTGTCCCAGTCGTGGACTGGGATTCGTTTACCCTTGTTGCTCACTTTGTTTGTGTTCTTTTCGAGAGAAGTTACCCGTTTAGATCGTTTTGTTTTTGCGAGGCTCCTCCGAAGGGAAAGCACGCAATTGGCTGGCCACTGACCAGTAATCAATCCTTAGCACAAAGAATCCCCTTCTCACATCAGAGGTTTCCGCCGATGAGAGGGGGGGCACCAAAGCGCATGCTTGGCACAATAACTATTGACCCCAGGCCCTCAAGGTGTTTGTGGCATTCAGTCTGGTTTATGTCCGGACATGTAGGTACTGTAGGTGTATCATGGGGTAAGCGAAGAGGAAGCCAATAATGTTGGAGGTGTCCAACTGCCGGAAGCCCGAATGTCCATAGGCATTTCGTGCTGCATGGGTTGTCTTGTTGCAGACCTCGCAGAAGCCAAGCTCCCAGGGCAAGGGGTAAGGAGGAGGCTTGACCATGACTATATGCGGGTGTGTCCACTGGTGCTCCCGAAAAATATGGTTGCTTTCCTTCTGACGTGCCTTTAACAAGCAATTTACAAATGCCAAGTTTCAATTGCTGCCCAGCTTCAATTGCTTGTTTCAGACCCGAAGCAGAAAACTTTGCACTTTGGTCTTATATACTTGGGGAATTCTCACCGTCATGTACACTTTTTTTCTACCCACACCTACTCACTGCGGTGTCTTTTCTGAGTGAATCCCCTTGCTTCTTGTTCTTTCTCAAGGAAAGCAATGAGGAAATCTAGAATCTTTGGGGATCCTTGATCTTTGAGCCACACCCGCGGCATTTTTTTTTGAGGCGCAGCTGGAGGAGGATTTGATGAGCTCCATGGCCGGACCCCCAGCGAGTGGATTTTAAGAGTTGGACCCCCCTAAGTGGTCGGTGGACATGGACCCACCGCATTCTGATGTCCCACATTTTGGGTCCCGAATTAAAATTCAGACCCCTGTCGCGTTTGGGGCTTTGCATTTCTCAGGTTCGCAGGAGGGACTATTGCCATCAAGAACTTTGCGAGGCTGTAAGAAGACCTTTTTTGGTATTGGTTTTGGGCACCCGGTGGCTTCCCCGACCCTGCAACAGAAACTCAACAGTTGGGCTGGCCGCCGTTCCAGCAAAAGAGAATCCACCACCAACCCTGTTTACGATTCGTTGACCAACATGTTTGTTGGCCAGCGGCTAGGCTAGAGTGAGGTGGAGAAAGTTGCAGCGTTGTTGTTGGGGTGCAGTGAATGGCACCATGCTAAAAAGCCGTGTCCCAGTGCAGATCACGGATTAGCATTAGGGACCTCTCCCCAAAAGGCTTCCGACTGTCAGTCATGCCCAAACAGGTTCTGGTGGTGCATGCTTATGGACATCGCAAATATGGGCCCATCCTTTTCCTGATGATAAGGCCCTATTCATCCATTCAAAATGAAATGGGTGCCCATGAATGAATCATCGAGGGTTGAGGTAAGGGGCTGACCGCAAGTTCGACATAGTAAACTGAGGGCACTTACGCGGCCGAACATCCACCAGATTGGCGGGTTGTCACGGTTCAATCAGAAAGATGGAGCCGCTACCTATCAACTTGGGGAACTTCCGGGCGTTTTGGGGCCACGCCCCTATGACTTTCAGGAGAGGGCCAACAAGTTGACAAACTGCTTCTGGCCGATGCAGCCCATACTCATGTTATGACCCCACTGTGTTCGCGAGCCTGTTTGTCAGATCATGTGGAGACGAGCATGCCTCTTCTGACGCGAGCAAGTGCATTTGAAAGGAGTGTGCGACTGTTGGCTTTGCAGGGGCGTCGTCATGCCATGTAGCTTGTAGCTTTCATTTTGTTAGTGGCTCCGTTGGGAAATGATTGCAGGCGGTGGGTTGGTTTGCCGACCTACCCCGCCCCTTTGCCAGAATGAGGCCGAAGAAAGCACACATATCCAGGCTGCTCAAAGGCAACCCCCTACAACATGCTCTTGGGTATAAGAGGGTTTGGTTCCCCTCGCAATGGTTGCCAGATAGGGACCCAGCAAAGTGTTACTGGCAAATCCTCCTCTTTGAGCATCCCACTGCCAGGGTCCGGTGGACCTGTCCGAAGGCCTGCTGGCCAAGACGTGACCATACCCTCCATAGAACTTGAGGTTTGCCTGAACTTTTCGGAAACTGAGCCCCGGATGGTCGAGTCAAAATTGGCGAGCTGCACGAAGGTGATGCTGGACAGTTTGTCCCGTGGCTCAGCCAGGTATACCAAGGCCACGCTGAACGGGATACGATACGAACATCAGTCAAGAAGTTTGGCAGGGCCAGCGCCTCCTGCGATGAGTTGAGATGCACGATGAGGACTCCTTGGCGCGAACGCGCAGGGCATCAACTTCTTGAGCCAAGCGAAGATGTGCACCTTCAGCCAAATGTGAACCTGGCAGCGTGACTGGGTCTGGTGTGGACGAGCTGAAGCAATCTGCAGTATGAAACGGCGGCGGAATTGGCATAGTGTGGTCAAGTTTCCGATACTTCCCAAGTTCCTTGGCCTTACAAACGCCACTGTTTGGCAACCTTAGCTTGGTGCTAAGCAGCAGGTTCATTCAGACACGTGCTCGTGGAACTCCAAGTGTTGAATGTTGAAGCTTTTGGGTCGAGCAGGGAATATCGTTGTGGTGCAACACAACAAGTTCAGCTGTTTTGCGAGTGCTTTCACTGTCCAAGTTTGTTGGGCTCCTTTTTTGCGGAACATCGATGAAATTTGCAAACACAGAGCTTGGTATTTTGTTTGGCAAATCCATTCAGGAAGATCGTATTCCCAATGGCACACAAGCAGAACCTTTCGAAGGGTCATAAAAGACATTCCCAACCATACTTAGGGGCTTTCCTCCTAAATGATTGTGCATTTGGGATTGATGGGATGCTTTGCTGCTGAGTTTCGGTTTCGGCTGAAATGGCAAGCAACCAGCAAGAATCAACAATATTTCGTGCATCCTCTTTGATAGGGTGCCCTTTTTTATTATCCCATTTAGCTTGGGCTTCGTACCGCTTGTTGAAGACACTGTATCCAGGTTAAACATGTTAGCGTTCAAGTTCAGCACACATAGCCGGAGACACATCATGACATTCATTGGGTCAAAGGGCCTTCCTGCATTGGCCTGACGGTTGTGGTACCCCTACAGCCGCTTCAAGCTATATCCCCCACATATGTATTATATATATATATATTGATGTACATATGTTCAGATACACTTAGTCGATAGCCTTGGCATGCCTTGGCCAAACATGGGGCATGGCAGTTTTCCAAGCCCCCAGTTTGCCAAACACTTTCTCCAAATGGCTCGCAGGTGCTTCGGATCATGCCGTGGTATCCTTACTACGCGGGGCGCCCCGCTAGCAGCGCCTGCGCCATTCCCTGGAGCTTGCCAGCAGTGGAACTCGTTTGGGAAGTCTCCGGGATCATCTCGACAGTCCCAAACCATCACAAAAACAAACAATTAGCAGGGATGTGATCGGAGCAGGGGTGTGACGGGCTTTTGCTCCAGTACCATTTGGTAGCCCTGCCTTCTGCGGAGCTTTCCCAATTCCTTCTTCCGCAGCATGTCTGACCATTCGTTGCCCCAACATTTCCCCAAAGAGCACGGGGCATATTAAAGCCCATACCTCAGGTCCCTGGAACTGTGGCTGTGCTGGTGGCTGATTGCTTCGAACCGTATGCCTGAAAAGAACATCCGGCTGATGGGCTTGAAGGCTTGAAGGTGGGGAACCCCAACGAAATTGTTGAGTTCTGGCATG